ACCTACTTTGTCAATCCTCTTCTACCCTGGGCCATACAGGTTTACCAGAGCGATCACCAGATTTCTCTGTCAGCGGTTTTCTTTTTTGTTTTGTTCCATTCCAGTCTTCTGTCAGTCAGGGACTGTAAGATGTCTTCCCAGCAAACCCTTGGTCATCCTAGAGGTCTGGCCTCCCATGTCTTCCCAGCAAACCCTTGGTCACCCTAGAGGTCTGGCCTCCCATGTCTTCCCAGCAAACCCTTGGTCGTCCTAGAGGTCTGGCCTCCCATGTCTTCCCAGCAAACCCTTGGTCATCCTAGAGGTCTGGCCTCCCATGTCTTCCCAGCAAACCCTTGGTCATCCTAGAGGTCTGGCCTCCCATGTCTTCCCAACAAACCCTTGGTCATCTAGAGGTCTGGCCTCCCATGTCTTCCCAGCAAACCCTTGGTCATCCTAGAGGTCTGGCCTCCCATGTCTTCCCAGCAAACCCTTGGTCATCCTAGAGGTCTGGCCTCCCATGTCTTCCCAGCAAACCCTTGGTCGTCCTAGAGGTCTGGCCTCCCATGTCTTCCCAGCAAACCCTTGGTCATCCTAGAGGTCTGGCCTCCCATGTCTTCCCAGCAAACCCTTGGTCGTCCTAGAGGTCTGGCCTCCCATGTCTTCCCAACAAACCCTTGGTCATCTAGAGGTCTGGCCTCCCATGTCTTCCCAGCAAACCCTTGGTCATCCTAGAGGTCTGGCCTCCCATGCCTGCCGTGGTGGCTGATTCTCTCCCCTTCCGCATTCACTCAAGTGTGTAAGCCTAGGTTTCAGAATCACTGCAGAATCACTGTGCTTTGTCTGGACATGAACTTTGCTACTTGGAAATGTGCCAACTGATGAAAATATCAGATGAGAGAGGGTTGAACAGTCATAACTGCAAACGCCTGCTGACGACCCCCACCAATAAACACACACACACAAAACCCAGAATATATGAACAGCCACCACACCTTGGCTAAGTTTGTAGACTTGCCGACCCCATTGACCCCACAAAAGGTGATCACGTAGGGTCTTCGCTGCTGTTTTGCTTCCATGGCATCACGCAGGATGTCCACACGACGCTTAGGAGAGAGAATCTGAACACAGGCTTCCTGCAGCGTGTTCTTGACTGTGTTTGCCACACCTACAGTGGAGATAAAAATAGGAAAATAGAATTGTGAAGCAAGTTGACCAGTAGCACAAACATTTTTCAATAAATTATGAAAAGTTTAAAAACGTCACCTATTATTCCGCTAATAAGACAATCCCTACTTTTGTTTAAGCCCACAAAAAAAAAAAAAAAAAAAATTTTTAATCACATTCTGTGTACAAGATAACCTCCAATTTTAAATCTGAAACAATTTGCAAAAACATATACTTCTTTAAATGGATACAGGATTTTGCAGAACCAACCCCATCCCCCAATTTGTTGACTGTTTGCTTTAAAGAGAACAACTAAAATCTACTGTAAGACTAGAAAGTTTAATGGAAAGACAGAGGAAGATCAGATTTATGACAGCTTTTCCTCATTGTACAGAGATATAGCTAAATAAATTTCAAATGTGACGATTTGAGTAATATGGGTAATAAGGGCAAGACAAGATCACAAACACTGAGGTATTGGAATAGCAGGTAGCACAAAAATTTTGGCAATGCTTTTTTCGAAATCTCAGATGGCTAGGACATACTAGAGAATGGTAGAGTCCATACAGATATTTATCCACTATAGTGAATTACAGATGCCAAGGTCGGCCTCTACTACCATTTAAAAGATGTGTACAAGTGGGACATGAGATAGGTACTGTGGATTCATGAGAAAAGAATACCACAGACAGCATTGCATGGAGGGGGAAAACCAGGTTTGTTGTAAGAATGCAAGAACAAGGTTTACAGACAAACTAAAAGCTGAGCATCTGAGAAGAAGCATGCTAAATACATGTGATGGTAACAGTGGTCATGAAACCGAACGTTCTAATCGTGGAAGACTTTCTTAACACAAGCTTGCTCGTCATACTTGCCGTTGAAGCTTGCTTGTCACACTTGCCGTCGCCATGGGATGTGATTCCATGCCTCCATGTGGCACAATATAACAGTGCATTTTGGTAGCGACTGTTGGCTTGGGCATCTCTATCTTATGCACTTACTGCGTGTGCGTATTTCTGGATTCTGCCGGAGCTAATTGCTTGTTCACCGATTTTTCACATGGGACAGTGAAGAACATTTCATTTAATTTTTACTGGCACATGAACAAAGCAAGTATGAGATGACCCAACTGTAGTGAAGTTGAAACCTCAACTAAGACTATCATCTGGAAAGACGGAAAGGTGTCAGTACATGAAGTAATATACAGGGTCTCCTTGACGTATGACTAAGTTCCGTTCTGACTAACAGGTCATTAGTTGAATTTATATTTTTTGAACACTATTCTCATTCAGGCAGGTTACACAAATTGTACACTGTAATACAACAATTCAAACTAGATAGTACTATGGTATACAATGTGACAAAATAACATGTACTCTACGGCATCACTTTCAGGAACCTTTTGACTCTACTAATTAGTTACCTTTCCATTATTTTTATTTATTTATTTTTTGTGGTCATAATTTGCATAGGTCTAAGTCAAGAAGGTGTTGAAGACTGCAAGATGTGGAGAAATTTACTTTTCGACGAGGCAATGGATGATGATAAAGAGAAAGTTTTACTGTTTATATTTGATCAGAGGCTAGAGATTAACATGTTTTAATTGTAAGCAGCAAGTGAAACAAACTGCACAAACTTACTTCCAAAGGTACCCAAGACTTTGCCTTCCAACTTGGTGGCCACAGACTCACACAACTTTAGGGAAATATCAGCGGCTACATTCTTAGCTGTAGAATTGTAACCACAATTAAAATATCAGCGGCAACATTCTTAGCTGTAGAATTGTAACCACAATTAAAATATCAGCGGCAACATTCTTAGCTGTAGAATTGTAACCACAATTAAAATATCAGCGGCAACATTCTTAGCTGTAGAATTGTAACCACAATTAAAATATCAGCGGCAACATTCTTAGCTGTAGAATTGTAACCACAATTAAATTATCAGCGGCAACATTCTTAGCTGTAGAATTGTAACCACAATTAAAATATCAGCGGCAACATTCTTAGCTGTAGAATTGTAACCACAATTAAAATATCAGCGGCAACATTCTTAGCTGTAGAATTGTAACCACAATTAAAATATCAGCGGCAACATTCTTAGCTGTAGAATTGTAACCACAAATAAAATATCAGCGGCAACATTTTTAGCTAGAGAATTTTAATCACAATATCAGTGGCACCATACTTAGCTGAAGAAGTTTAATCATAATTAGAATGTCAACGATAACATTATTAGTTGTAGATTTGTAATCAGAATATAAGCGACAACATTGTTTGCTGTAGAAATTTAATCATAATTAGAATATCATGTTGTCCAGTACAGTGTGCTGTTGTGCAGCCTCAAGGTATCAATGACATTTTCAGTCCATATTTTTCTTGGTTATCCTCTACTTCATGGTGTTTCTACTTTCCTGTTGTATGCTCTGGTTTGTGGCATCATTCGATTCCTTCTCATTAAATGGCCAAACCATTTTAGACTCTGTTAAAAATTTTTTTTATCACAGATGTTGTTCCAATAGTTCTTGTAATTTCTTCATTTGTCACAGGTTCTCATCTAGTTTGTTCACGGCCTTTCTCAAAGATCTCATTTCACATGTGGTTAGTTTTATGTTCTTCAGTCAATGTCCGAGTCTGACGTTGACAGCACAAAGTCGGTGTGAAGATGGCATAGGTTCGGGGGTACCCATTGTATGGAAAACAAGAACAGACCCACTGTCTCCCCAACAAGAATGTTGTAAGGGTCAACTAACTGGCGGCTTTCTCCGAAGGTGAAGTGCATCTGACTAAGAGGCAAGGATCCAGCAGTCTGCATACAAATAATTCAGATCTGTAAAACAGATGTGCATACAACACTCAGGTTCTGGAACGAGACAAGTGTTCAGAGATGGACAAACAACCAAAACTTCCTGCGGGAGTTTATAGCTGCTGAAGGTGAAGAAGATAATTTGTCTGATGTAATAAATAAATAGTAAAGGGCTCTTTTCAATAGGAATATGATGATAGACATATTTCCATAGACCTTCCTCTGATAGAGCCGCAGTAGTGTAGTGGCCAGAGGTTCACCTGTTGGCCTGAAGAGCTTGGGTTCGAATACACATCATGGTGGATCTGCCCCCTTCCCCCAAATGACCATGGCTCCCAGGCAGATTCAGCCTTAATTAGCTCCAGGCAAAGTCCTTTGAAGTTAAGGTGGCCAGTGTGATGCTCATCGCATTATCCAACAAGTGCTAATTGGTCTTTAAAATATGAGTTCAACATCATATGCTCAAAGCATTATTGTCCTATTAAAAAAAAGTGACGGCTATCATCCTAATAACGGTGCCAAATTATCGAGGCCGAAAAAACCCCCTAAGAAGGCCTCAGTCACATGTCAATTGCGAACTTCTGGCGACTTAAATTGCGACTTCCGCCACCGCCGAGAGTACCCCCCCTCTCCCCCCGTTCACGCGCCGTGCATTGGTGCTAAACTAGATGGCTGGGAATCACGAGCAGCAGCTACTGCATCTCCTGCAGCTTCCTTCATTTTATTTGCTCATGAGTCCGAGCAATCTAGTTTAGCCCCAGTCTACGCCGCATGAGCGGTGTGGGGGATACTCTCAGCGACGGCAGTACAGTCCCTGGAAGTTCACAACTGACACGTCACTGAGGCCCTGTTAGGGTATATTTTCGGCCTCGATAATTTGGGACCGTTATGCGGAGGATAGCCAAAGTGACCTATACTTTTTCTGATATATAATTAATGTATATAAGTATAATTTAGTCATTAATGTACAATATGTTTATGTAAGAATTCATGTGAATTATTTTTGTATAATCACTGATGTATAATAATGGTATGTAGTATAGAAAACTGACCAATCAAATGGTCCTTCATCTTCTCCAAAACAGGTCTGAGGTCATCTGCTGTCAAAGTCTTGGATCCGACTAGACCCCGGAAAAGCCCAAATACGCCACCACTGCTGGATTTGCTGAAACAAGATATGAAGTCCTGGAGACTCATGGCTTACCACAGACACACTCATCATAACAAGAATAAGAATTAGCTTTCCCCTTTTCTTTGAGAACTGTGTGGGCTACAGAGCTCCACTGTGGAGAATAAAGAATAGACAAACTTCGTATTTTTATTTGATAACCCCCTTTCTTTGCCTATTAGAGATGGAAGACATTCCTTGGAAGTGAAGAATTTTGGACAGATCCTGGGTTTACCATCCAGTCCAAATCACCAATGACGCAGCTGACAGTATCAAAGTTATGTTTATGTTTATTCGACGGATCAAAATCAAGGCACACGGGCGTAACCCATAAGTGCTCCGTTCTACTTCTAACTCAAGCCAGAGTCTGAAGATTCTCAGCTCAGTGCACGAACTTTGTTGCACCAGAAAGAATCCTGAAATACTTGAGGTCGATTTTTAACCACAAACTTTGCCTGGGCAGCGCCGTAAAGCTACTCTTTTTGATTTCAAGCTGCCAAGAGATTTTTTTTTACATGCCTAAAAATACACATGGGTGCCTGATCTTACTACCCAGACACCAAGGAAAATTACTAGAAGTCCACATGAAAAAATCACAGCCTTCACCAGGGCCTGAACCTAGGATCTCCAGCACTCTAGGCGGACACCATACTTTGAGACCACGCAGTCCCCTATATATCTAAACTCAACATGTTAACAACTATGAACTTTTTTGTTTTTTAAACAGCAATGAAAAGATGGAAAATGCAGTAGTATGGACAGGTAACAAGACCTACTGGCCTCTTCAAAACAATACTACAGGGCTCTGTAGAATGGAAGAGACAGACCAAGAAACACCTGGATACAGAACTTGGCTGACAGGCCTCCATCATGCAGTTCATTGCCTCCGACCAACAGTGGTGGAAGGAACCAATCAGACAATCAACAGCAACTAATACTCAGTTTTACAAGACTATGAGGATGAGTGTTTTAGGGTTGCTAATTCCACAACAGTTCTATTAGGAACCACAGTGTCTGCCTTTTCATTTCCTTTAACCCCAGCGCACTTTGGTATTAAAGCGAAACAAACTAGCCTAATCATAAATTTCTGCACTAAATCACACCAATGACTGCATGCAGACAAACCCCCCCCCCCCCCCCCCCCCCCCAGCATATTTATGGAGCCAGTCAATACCCCATCTATGAGTGTAGTTTTGCATTTAAATTTTATTCTGCATTATACAAGTACAGCTTGTGTAACATTATCTCTCTCTGATGTCACTGACACCCATTTCTTCCCACTGATGTCAACTTTCTGAAAGTAAAAACAAAGCTATTTAAAGCTAAGAGGATTATCTTGCCCACCACAATTTTATCCTTCATGATCCAGCCTTTCCACTGTCTGACCACAGACCACAAGCAGCATTTGTGAACTCCTCAACTCCAGCAACAACATTACTGTACTCATGACAGTCAAAATAAAACTTAATGCAGTCCAAAAACAAAACCCACAATCTCCAGAGTGAGAGGCAGACAGCTCAACCACTTCAATACACCGACCTTCCCCAAGAGTCTTAATATGATTTGAAGACACACTACCCTACCTGGCTGCCTTGCTCTTTTGTTGAACCACTTTCTCCTCTTCGTAATCATCATCATCCTCATCATCATTGGTTTCAATGTCTGGTAGCTGCCCGGACATCTGTCCCACCAGCTTGATCTACAGTAACAAAAGACAATAAGAATACTGTTTCCTCCACATCTCCAACTCATGACACTAGATTTCAGAAACAGTAATTTGTCTTTGAGCTGCAAAGATAATGGTTCAACTGACTATCAAGAACTCTTATTAGCCCATCTGACTCCCAAGACAGTGATTAGTTCACTTGACCAGCATGATAGTGGGTTGTTCACTTGTCTACAAAAAAGTGGTTAGTTCACTTGTGAAATCATCAAGACAGCCGTCTAGGTTCTATACCCAGCGGAGATTGTATTCTTGTTTCTGACCAGTGTAGCTCTACAATCTATGCAGTCTTTTGGATCTACAATATATCCAGACTTACAGCTCTACAATCAACCCAGTCCCATAGTTCTACAGTCAACCCAATCTCACAGCTCTACAATCAACCCAGTCCCATAGTTATACAGTCAACCCAGCCCCACAGCTCCAAAATCAATTCATCTCACAGTTCTTCAATCAATCCAGTCTCACAGTTTTACAATCAATCCAGTTGCACAGTTCTACAATCAATCCAGTCACACAGTTCTGCAATCTTACAAATACTTCTGGTCAACAAGAAGGCGACAACAGTAACTGATTCTCTTTTTGGTGTGGCTTTGGAGACCAAAGCAATAACATGGCTGGAGACACAAACCTTTAGCCGTGCATGTTCTCTCTGTGACTCAATAAGTATGCTCAGAAAATAGAGATGGGCTGGGTCCTAAGACTGGTTGGAGTCTTTGAGGCGGTCGGGGCTGACACATCAGTTTCAGCAGGAAGCCAGAGAAAAAATAAGAAACCAACTCAGGACCTGTGTCATCAGCCGCTACACACTGCGTGATTTACTCAGGCTGGGATCTGATCACTTTACGGAGTGAATGGTCTGGTGTGGAATGAGGACAATCTGTCAACTAACTAAACTAAGCTGTACAATCTGTCCAGCCTCATATAAACAGATACCATACACTTTTCTGGTTTTCTGGGAAGTAAGGGCCATGGGGATGGTAACTGGTCACCCGGCCATATGTTGTGGCCCAAGTTATATAAGGGCCTAATTCTTTGTCACCACTCAAATAGGACACAGAAAAGTAAGAGGAAATCTGAGGATACGGAAGAAATTAATGCCCCGGGAATTTCCCCACAGATCTTCTTGCCAATGTGATTAGAAACATTGTGATCTTGAAAGAAGAACACCAAAAAAAGAGACAAGTGGAACCTACTGACAGTCATTCTACCTATCTGAATGTCTGTTTATCTACACATCAATCCATCACTCAATCAATTTATCTATCTACAAATCAATCCATCATTCAATCAATCTATCTACAAATCAATCCATCACTCAATCAATCTACAAATCAATCACTCAATCTATCTATCTATCTATCTATCTATCTATCTATCTATCTATCTATCTATCTATCTATCTATCTATCTATCTATCTATCTATCTATCTATCTATCTATCTATCTATCTATCTATCTATCTATCTATCTATCTATCTATCTGCATCAATCCATACCAATCTATGTTGTTGAGCCACTGTATATCATGAAATAACAAATAAACAAAATTGCAAGACTGATGAAAAGAATGCAAGAAGGCAGGGAGGTAAACACATAGATAGCTTGGTGATAATGATAGGGGACACAAGAGCACTGATCTAGTTTGATTATGATGATCCTGCAAAACATAACCACAAATGTTTATAGGCAGGGCACACGATGATGATATCACCCCATACTGATGACATATTAGACTACAGGTCTGAAAAATTAAAAAAAGAAAACACTGAACAGGCGCCAATAACTATCTCCTTGCTGCATTTCTCTTTGATTGATGCCTGTAGTTACCACTGTTTGCGGTGCAGGCAGGGGGGGGGGGGGGGGGGGTCTTTAAGGATTTAGGATAACATGACTGGTTCAGTTGCTATGGACTGCAGGGTTAGGATTTTGTTTTTACCCCCTTCAGAAAAAACTCTATTGCCTAATCAAGGATCTGAAATTGGGTTTTCCACAAGAAAGACCGGAGTTTTAACCTTCAGATCTCTATTTTATAGACCAATCGGCACCAGGTGGGACATCCGGTCAACATCATGCCGGCTGCTTTTATTTTTCCAGATTTGACCTGGTACCCATTTAAGGTTGGATCAACCCGGGAGCCAAGGTCATTTGACACCCCAAAATAAATTAAAATTAGTCTAGCTCCGTCAGGATCTGAACATCCCCCTGCTGCAGTCATTGTGCGTAATTCAAACTCAACACATTAGACTCTCATTACTTTTGTTGTCCCTTCTGGGCAGCATGACTTACCTCATCCTGTGTGATCATGGGAGCATCGGCCCCGGTATCGGTGCCATAGTTCAGCTCTGGCATGTCCTTTGCAGTTCCTTCCTTGCTCCACTTGGTTCCCTGTTTTCCCTTGCGCTTGGGTGGCTCTGGACTTTTGCTGAGGAGCAGTTAGAGACAATTAGCTGAGTACTGTGTTGTGAATTAACCATGAGGGCTCAGGGGCCCTATTAAGTGGAGAAAACGGGGGAGGGGGGGGGTATCGATACCCCTTCCCCCAATAAGCATGTTGCAAAAGGCAAACAGACCTGGTGGACTGAAAGGTGTAAAAAATCACAGCCTATATGTAAACTACACAATGTGCCAACTGCCTTCTTAAGGGCAAAGATATATAGATATATTGTTTTTAACCCTACCAGACCGCTGGCCCAATTTTATGGGAATTTCTTAACCTGACGCTATACCGCTGGCCCTAATTTTTGGCTTTTTGCGTAGTACGGGAAAAAGATGCGCCACAGACTAAAAATAACCACCCAATTGTTATCAGTCCTCTTTGTTAGACATTGCAAATGTCTGCCTGCGTGTGTTTGGATTATATTTGTGTTGTTTTATGTGGACAAATTCTGAAAATTCACAGTGAAACGGGTGGCTGATAAACCAAATTCTAGGCTTTTCACAGTCCAACAGGTGATCAATACTTTGATTTGTTTAGACTCTGCGGGGTGATAATTTCATAAAGAATACGTTCTTGAAGTGACACTGTCAGTGAGAGCAAGAATGATGAGGAAAATCTTGAAAATTATCAATCTTGAAATAGATTGATAGTAGAAGGGGGTGTGTCCATCAAACGGCAACACCTGGTGTTCACTTTGTGAAATAAAGTTGATCCTGATGAGTAAATTCGCACACAAAGGTGGAATATTGGCGCTAGATAAAAGTAAGCCTTTTTTCTAAAATGTCTCCAAGTTTCATAATATTCTAGCCACTCGTTTGCATGTAACTAATATTTGTATATCATGTCAGTTTTTCGCGGTAATGCCCAGGAGCTCAGGTTATAGGGACAGTTAGGTTCAGGGCCTCAGCTCTGGTAGGGTTAAACAATGAAAGACCACTTTTGTGGTAGACCGTGGACGTCCTGCGTTGTTTCGCAATACTGCCAGTTGCATGATAACGATCACACAGAGTTTGTACGACTAAGTGGGCAGCTCCCAATCTCCCAGCCCTATATCATTCTGTGGTCATGCTATGCTCTCCATCTGTCAAAACTGGTCAAGTCTTTTTTACTGAGTCATGGCTAAAATGATAAGTGTTACAAACATACTCATTCCTTCGGTTGGGGAAAGTGGATGGCATGTTTTCACTATAGTCATAACTTGCACGTGGACAAACAAAATGTCAGCAATGTTATCAACAAGCTTTGCTACAGGAAGAATTTTGAAACATGCATTTTTTCCCTTTCCATCATGTACAGATTTGATTTATTGTCAGATTAACAAACACTGTTTAAGCATGCAACAAAATGTAACAAAGATTTAGGGGAAAAAATTGTTGAAATAATCTAAAAATTGAAAACGGCGTTCAAAAGTTTTTTTCTAGCAGTAAGGAGAAGACAGTCATCCGATACTCAGCTTGAAGACTTTCTTTGACAATGGGCTAATTTTTGCAGCCACAAATATTTCATGCCATCAAACGTGAATATTTTTCAAAAATTTGGCCACATTTTAACTCATCCTGTATGCCATTATTTTAAGTGTTGTGTCTATTTTGTGAGCAGGTTAACCAGTTCAAATACCTTGGAGTTGTATTAGACTGAAATGGAGGCATTAAGACTGAGCTGGCTACACGAAAAGCAGCTGCTGGGAGACTCTTCCAGGCCATAAACCGAGGGTTTCTTAGCAAAAGAGAAATTGGCAAGAGGACGAAAATGGCTGTTTACCGCTCTACCTATGTACCAGTCCTGACATATGGGTGTGAGTCATGGGCAATGACAACAGCTCACAGAAGCCAGCTGCAGGCCTCGGAAATGAGATATCTGAGAAAGGTGGTCCAAGTGACAAGAAGGGACAAAGTCCGCAATCTGACAATACGTCAAGATCTTGATACCCAGTCCTTACAAACCCGAGTGGATCAGTCACAGTTACGATGGTTTGGACATGTATGGAGAATGGGAGAAAATCGGCCACCATGGCAGGCATGGGAGGCTAAGAACCAGGGAACCAGACCTCCAGGACGACCCAGGGTGCGCTGGGAAGACAACATCCGACAGTCCCTAACTGACAGAGGACTGGAATGGAACAAAGCCAGAAAGAAAACTGCTGATAGAGACGTCTGGCGATCTCTCTGGCAAACCTCTACACCCCAAGGTAGAAGAGGAGCGACTAAGTAAGTAAGTCTGTTTTGTGTTGCTTTTAAAATGTATGCCATCTCCTTAATGAAAGTTAGCTACAGCGCACCCATGGCTGTCTCTGAGAATACTATGAGGTCCCAATCTCCTGGATGGTGCAAATGGTGCACCGTCACCAGAAAAACACAAAAGCGGTGAAAAAGAAAAAGTCACATAGTCACACTAACTGTGTAGTCAGCAGCAAGGTAATATAACTGATAACATTAATGCAAAGAAGATAAAGATGTCTAGAAAGAAAATGCTCACAAAGAGAACTGGATCTTTTTCATGCGTTTCAGGCATACTGGGTATACAGGGCTTGACCTATATTTTATAGACCAAACTGCACTTGGTGGGTGATGTGGTCAGCATCACGCTGGCCACATTTACTTTGCAGAACTGTACCATGGTTCTCACTCCTGGGTTGACCTCGGAGCCAAGGTCATTTCTGAAAAATAGTCCGATCTCAGTCCGATCCGCAGGTGAGCGTCTAACCGCAGGTGAGCGTCTAACCGCTAGACCACGGCGGCAAAAAAGAAAACTAAATACATAAATTAGATGAAGGCAATCCAAATATGAATCCGCCAGGAGAAGAACTGAACTTGAATATATCATGAGACAGGAAGAGTGCAAAAGACCAAGAGAGGAAATGTTAGTATGACTTCATGATATGGAGGAACAAAAATATATTTGAGTGGCAGTCCTCATGACAGAAGGCTGTGGACAGACATGACAACTAACAATACCTCATGACATGGACTACAAGAAGTACCAAAAAAAAAAAAAAAAAAAAACAGATAAACAATTAAACAATGTGACTGAGACATTGGACATTGCCAAGATAACCAAAACTGGCGGAAGCTGTTACAATCAAAATGAACAATCCCACATTATGCACACAGAAAAAGAGCATGTGCTGAACGTCATAAAATGTCCATGGTAACTATGTGGTGATCTTGAACTTCTGGTTGTGAGATGTACAGTGTAACTAGAAGACAATATGATTTATCTATTTCGGTGGAAAGGATTCATTTCTGTGCTTCAATATATGTTGAAGTAACTCTGCAGTAATGCACCTGAGGAGACCCAGTTAGATACGCCAGGCAATAAATTATCTGTGCCTGCATTATTTAAATTTGCTACAGAAAAACATTGTTTAGGACAAGAAGAATGACTAACAGACACATACTCTGTCACAGTGTTTCCTGGCTTCTTGCCACGCATCAACAGCTTCTGCAAGTTCCGCTGTCTGGTCTCCTCATCCAGCCCTCCATCACCGTTGGTTGTCGGTGCTGATGTGGTTACCTGCGGCGATGATGGTGGTGCTGAAGTCACCTTAGGAGATGCTTTAGATGTGACTGGTGGTTCTGTAGCCTTACCTATCCAAAGACAAATAGCTAATGAGAATAAGGACAACAAGAATTACAGGAATATTCACAAAATGTGGCATACCAATCGAGTTTTTTAAGCCTTAAATAAATCTGCCCAAAACATGGGCAAAACTTACCTGGTGGGCATAACATGCAAACCTTTACACCCCCCCCCCCCCTTTTTTTTTTAAAACAAGTGGGACAGCACTCTTAACAACCACTTTATACCAGTTACTGTTAAGTTAGCTGCATATCTTTTATAGGAAGTTGCAGAAACAATCCCAGCATCTGTTGGCTGCTTTGATTTTACCAGGCAATTTTAGGCTCAGTAGTTTTCCATCGTTTACTGCCTGGTAGGCCCTCGATACCCCAGTTGAAATCAGAACAAGGCGATCTGCTGCCAAATCTCCCATAGCTGGAATCAAACTTTATCCCTTGGAATTACAAAGCGCGCTCGCAAGGCTTAAGCCACCGACGTCGGCTTACTGTTACTGTATCTCCTACTGAACTTGTAAATAATCAGAGGGGGAACCTAGTAGACACAGCATTATAGTCAAATATGTTTATAATTGTTGTGTTTGTTATTTAACCATGCTTGTTTAATATAAATTTATTATGGTGCCATTTCAATGGTTTGAGATGAATCCTGTCCATAATCCATAGTTGTGGAATTGAATTTGAAGCTGAACGACAGATATGGCCAATGAAGACCCTTTTTTAGGGGTGCTTAGTTGGTCATGTTATTAGTACACTTGTTTTCATAGAGGTGTACACATCATTTGGAGGTGACAGGTTCGATTCTCGACTGGTTAACTTTTAGCTTTCGATTGTTTATGTTGTCTAATGTGTCTTTCTACTTCTTTTTATGAGTGCAGATCAATACATTGTCTGTCTGTTTATTATATATAATACTATTAAACTTGTGTTGGTTGACACATGTATATAACACAAAAATTAATTAAAAAAATATTAAAACAATACTACAGATTTAGTTTTCTAGTTCAGCTAGGATCTCAATATACAGGTAAATGTTGTGAACTTATCTAGCTGTGGCACAGGCCGCTGTATACTGTAGCTGAGCTTTATATACCTATAGGCCTGGCCTTAGTTTTTGGGTTAATGACAGCCAATCATATGTTTTGGGGTTGACTTACATAGCATGTAAAGGCCTAACTCAGAATTCTGAGCAAAAATCTGCAACTGGACTTGTATGACACAATTTTCAGTAATTAAATAACTGCCTGCTGGCTGGTTGTTCCAGCTGGGTCTGTTGAGGTGGATTTAGGGATTTTTTGGGGTGGCTTTTTTGGATTCTTTTGCATCTTCTTTTCTAATTATCCATGATTACAGATATACATTAACAGTGGTTCTGCGAGGAGTTACAAGGGGATCTGGCCGACTCTCGACACTCAGGGAAGGGGCGAGACGGAGACTGTTACTGGTACCATCGGCATTTTAACTCTTCACTTGCTGCTGAAAATGGGGACGGAGCGCTTATGGGAGTGTCCCGTGTGCTGTGGTGTTGATTCTTAATTCAACAGTTCTATGTAATATTCAAGAAGTGTTTCTCTAGCCACCAATAACAGGGGTTAAGTACACAAGATATTCAGTGTATAACATGTTTAGCCTACTCTCTAATGTATACATAGGAAGTCTGGTCAATGTGAATATATACTGTTTAAACAGAGCATTTTAAAACTCCTAAATAACTGACTGATTGATGTTTAACCCCATCAGGACATCACACATAGTGACAAACACCCGGTGACACAAAGTGCCACCATTCCGATGAGGATCACCAGTGGAGAGGTCCCAGAAACCCCTGTCCAACCCAAAGCTTGGGTTATATTAGGGCCCCTGGTAACAACCAGGGTGGAGCCCTAAATAACTGTGCACGTTTTTTTTTCCTGGTAAGCTAATGTTAATGTTATTTTTCTTCATATCTGCTTATACCGCTTAAGTGTCAAGGGAGATATAAGGTTCTGATAACTCCTCTCCTGACTGCCTTGATCATGGACATATTGCATTGTTGCAGAGTTTCTCTGATGATATCTCTCCATTGTGTTCTTGGACTACCCCTTTCTGTGTATACCTTGTATGGTAGGGCCTGGCATCATAAGGCAAACCATTTTATTTGCTGTCTCTGTTTAGCATTGGTTTTATGCCATTTTTATCTCTTTTGACTGTGTCTAATATTATCTTTCCTGGTCACCCCTGCAGTCTTTCTCAGACACCTCATTTCCATGCTTAATATTTTTTTTGTTAATGACTTGAAATGTGAAGATTATTTATTATTTAATTCTCTATTTTTGTAAGTACCGTCTAACAAAAAAACTGCTAAAAATCATACCCTTGGGAACCTTGTTTTCTTTTCCCTTTGTTAGTTTCTTCTCATCCTTCTTGTTTTCAATCATCGAGGAAACAGTTTTCTTTGATTTTTGTGAGTCTTCAAAGGTTCTCATCTTCCTAATGAATGAAAATGGCACATACAAAGAGGTTAACCATTGTCCCCGTCATGTACATGGAACTAGCACTTATGGTGTCAGGGGAGGTAATAACATAACCCTTGACCCATTAGGTGCGTGGAGGTGCATCAATGGAACTACTAGCACACAAAAACCCGCCATCTTTCTCTGTCTTCAGTTTGTTGCACAAGTGTCTGGTAAATTAGTTATGTCCATTTCTTTATGTTTTCATTCCAGGTTTTTCTTTTTCTTCTTCTTCTTTTGCGTTTACCGGCTGTAAACTCCGGCAGAAAGTTCTGGTTGTTCGTCCACTTCTGGACTGCAGTCCTGTTCCAGAAATCGGAGTGTTGCGTGTGCATCCGTTTGACAGATCTGACTAATTTGTATGCAGACTTTTGGTTCCTTGCCTCTCAGGCAGATGCACTCTGACTTCAAAGGAAGCTCCCAATTAGTCAACTCCTACGACATGTTTTGGGGTAGGCAGTGGGTCTATTCTTGTTTTCCCTATAATAGGGCCCCAGAACCCATATGGGGAAATTCCAGGTTTTTTTTTTTGCACCCCTCTTCTTTGATTACCCCGAATGTTCCTTGAAGTATAGTCTTTGCAACTGAATCCTGTCAACAGCGGTATTATTGTTGAAGGAAGTATGGTTGTCAAGAGTAGCAATATTACCAAGGAAAATAGTACAGACTGTAGGCTTTAGATAATGTATATGTCTGGCACTGGTAGTTCAATGTTGGTAAAAATATGCTGTTTATAATCCATTTTTTGGGGGCACTCATAGTTATGTTTGAATGTCTTAACAATGTTGACAACTTGTACATAATTCCACTTGCATACTGACATCTGCTTTCTATGTCCCTCTCAATTCTGCCATCTCATGTGATCACACCCTATCCTGTTTCAGGCCAGAACCATTGAGATGTATCTGTAGTGAACCAGAGGTTCTACTGCAGTCTATCTTCCTTGCTGTAGAACAACTGCTGGTCGTCATTTAATGTGGGTGTGATAATGCTGCTGTTGACTCCTTTTACTTTCTAGACACCATATGTGCCTCAATCAAGCTGTAAAGTCTGGACACATAATAGTACATTCAAATCACAATGATAACGTTGATATCCTTTATTGTGGCACAACAATAAGTCATTCCGTCCATGCCCCTAGTCGTTGACACATGCTCATGACTGACTACCACAAAAGGATGACAGTTGTTAAACAAGGGTTGCAGTTACCTGCCAGTCAGAACATTCCATTCGCTCGTGTTTTGGCATCTGTTCTTTTAACATTTTCATTTCACTATGACGTTCACCTCAGTCGCACCATCAACCAACCTACCTTCCACACAGTCAAAATACAACTGACTCTACACCCTCTTTCCGTTCACCACATTTGTACCAATTTCCGCACTTTTTCTTTACATTTTAAAATCTGCTCACAGAACAAAGGATACACTTTTCCAGCGTGTCTGTTGTTTTCTTGGCCCACTGACCATGTCACCTCAATTGGGAAACTCTTTAATTGTTCGTTTTGCTTCTCTTCTTGCTAATCTTTAATGAACGTAATCTTGGTGGGATTTTGATTAAGCCTACCATTCTGATTCTAAATTTGGCTCTAAGTGTGACTAGCAAAGCTGTCTTAAATCATGTCCTTCTTCTTTTGTCAAAATCTGCTTGTGCCGCTAGGCGTCGCAGTCTATCAGATGATCGGCAATCGAGCCAGGGCGCGCTCAGTCGCTTCATATGCCGTGATGTTATGAAGTCTCAAGTTGTCCGTGACTCCTTCAATCCATCTTCTTCTTGGTCTTTCCCTGCCTCTTGGTGTTTCGATTTTCATGTTGTATGCTCTTGATGCTGGCATCGTTGGTTCCATTCTCATTAGGTGACCAAACCATTTCATTCTTTGCTTCTCAATAAATTTAACGATGGGTATGGTTCCAATAGTTCTTGTAATCACATTGTTTCTCACTCGATCTCTTCTGGTTTTATTCGCAGCCATTCTCAAACATCTCATTTCACAGGTGGTTAGTCTTCTCTCGTGTTCTTTTGTTAATGTCCAAGTCTGACATTGATAACCTAATGTCGGTATAAAGATTGTATTTATAATTTGTCTTTTTATCTCAGCTGGGACAGCAGGGTGTTTTATAATTGGGGCAAGCTGGTATGCGACATTGTTGGCTTGTTGGATTCTTGCTTCGATCTCTCTGTCTATTTTACCATTGAATGTAAAGATACTTCCCAAGTATTTAAATTCTTGCACTTGTTTTAGGCTGTGATCTAGAATCTTTATGTCGATGGTCTGTTGCTCTCTACTTATGCTCATGACTTCTGTCTTTTCAGTATTGATCTTCAAATGATGCTTGAGGCAACTGTCGTGTAGTAGGTTTATGTGGTCTTGCAGCTGTTTACTATCACTGTGAAATATGCATTGATAGTCGGCAAAGAGCAGCTCATTGAAGTCCTCCTGTTTATCGACATCTGTTGGTGTTATGTCTATTTTATTAATATTGTCCATATATATTATGAAAAGTAAAGGTGATAATACACAACCTTATCTTACTCCTGATGTTACTGGGAACCAGTCTGTGATGCCAGCTCTGGTTCTAATGGCGCTTTCACTTTGTCTATAAATAGCCCTAACACAATCTAAAATTGTTCCATTTATACCGTAGTTTTCAAGAACTTTCCATAATAAATTTCTGTTTACTCTATCGAAAGCTTTTTCTTGATCTATGAAGGCGATGTTCATTTGATGTCTGTGTCCAATCTGTATAATTTCTATGTATGAATATTTGTCTGGAAGGTTGTTGAGTTACCTTTTACATTCTTGTTTAACCACATAATCATGAATTCTCTGAAAGTTGATAACATCTGCTGTTACTATTTTATTCCTCAGTGTTTTTTTTTTGCAGTTTAAAAAAAAAAGTTATAATTTTATGTTTTAAAATTGTGATCAGTGTCAATGTTTGTATTTAGTGGGACTCTTGAGTATTTTATTAACTCTTATTTGTCTTCCTGAACAAACAAAAAAGTGAATTCGTGAAGCCGGCTCCAAACTATCAAATTGATTTATACCAAGTTTTGGTATGCCTGGACGATATTGAAAAAAAAAAAAAACCACCAAAAAAACTAACTATAAGACCCTTTTGCAATCATAAGTTAAGCAGATGTTCTCTGTGCTGTTACTATTTACACCTGCATCACTAAATAGCCCCACAATGTTATCATCATAAATAATTTTGTTAAAGGAGGTAATACTGTTGAAGGAAACAACATTGTAATAGTAGCTAACATTGTTAAAGTAATCTACTGTGCAACCCCCCCCCCCCCCCCCCCCCCCCCCCCCCCCACACTCGGAGGACTATAGAGCACATTTAAACAAATTAGCTACACTGAATATTTATGCCCTTATTATAGCCATTATACCAGGAATGGACATATTACTGTTACACATGTAATGAAAGTATGTACATTTACTAGGGAGTACGTGTGTTAAAGTATTTAGCCAAGCACCTTTTTAACAACAGTGGAGCATTTCACATTTGATGCTTAACTCACATTTTTGTTAGACCAATCAGCACTTAATGGCTGATGTTGCTCACGTTACCTGATACCCATTTAGGCTGGGTCAATCAGGAAGCCAAAGCCATTTTTGAAAGAAACTTGATTTCATGCAGATTCAAACCCGCGGCCTTCGGGCCGGAGACAAGTGTCTAGTGCTATACCAATATGGCTTCCCGGTAGATGTGGTACTGCTACATAAATCAGGAAAGTACAAAAGTCATACAAAACACAGATTTATTACTAAGACTGAAAAAGTGAGGGCACAACTCCTACAAAGCAGAACAACGTTGATCTTCTACATCATTAATGCATTCCATTCAAGTAAAAAACAAAAAAACCTACCTTCCTGCCATCTGCTCTTTTCGACTGTCTTCTTCTCTCTCCTTCAGCAGGCTATGAAAGCATCCTGTAAAATCCTCAAAGTTGTGGTTACAATATGCTGAGTTGAGAAGTACATTCTTGTAGCGCTCTCGGAACTCCAGTTGAATGTCTGTCAGAAACTTGTCGACATATGACAGCTGTAGTATGTTTTGATAGGCCACCTGGGAGTAGACATCACATGAAAAGCAATCAATCACAGTTCAAATGTTTAGAGCAGTGATTCCTAGCTGGTGCTCTGTGGAGCCCTTAATGCTTGACGCGTGCGACATGGTCGCTTGATACACCGCACACTTGCCAAGTATCTAGGTATGCTCCATAGTGTTACAGTTACAAGTCACCACTCCCGCCCAATAGCAATAAAGGACGCCGGATACATGTTGAACGTCAAAACTAATTAATGTATTTCAACACCAAGACAATGAATCCACATGAATTTCTATACTGCCACAATCATTCTCACTATCAAGGCGACACACACTCAGGACGCTCTGGACGACTTCTGCTGCCACTCTGTTCAGTGGTTAACTACGAGCAAACATTACCTGCTCGTGCAAACCCATTACTCGTGATTACGTGTCTATCTCTATGACACCCATCCCTTGGGTACACTGTCACTAGAAAAATCATACAGGCCGATGCACAATACCTTGTGAAGATTATCCAGACCTTCCGTCTGCGGCCTGACACGTACTTGAGATCTCCCACCTCACCACACGAGCTTCTGTCACGCTGGCCCGGCCACTGCGGCATCTCTTGCCGATAGCCTGGACACCTAACGCCAGCGTAACATGCGGGTGTGCAGGACTAGTCTGGCAACACCCAGACTAGAACCTACATCACCGCATCCTTCCTCTCCGGGGACTTGGAGCCAACCGTTTTTCTCTCTCTTCACATTCCGTTCAATGTGTGCTGCACTGCACCAAGATTTACGTTCAATAATGAACTTCTTTTTCAAATACCCATATATTGTACACAACAGTGCTCTCATGCCCTTCCAGGAGCTCCGTTTTTTTTCCATAAAAATGGTGGCAGGTCAGAAAAAAATGGACTATTATTAAAAATTTCAAAAAAGTTTTTGAAACATAATTTGACTGCACAGACATTGCAAAACTGTTTAGATATCTCTTTACTTTAAATTCCTTTACTATCTACCTCCTCTCCTTAACATTACTTATAAACAACATTATCTTGTAAAACAGAGGGATGGTAGGCTTGAGGGGCTCCTTGCAAAAAAAAAAGGCTCCACAGCTCAACATAGCTGATGTCCATTGGTCAGAGGGATACAGAGGTGCTGCACACACAAGGTATTGTACCACAAGGACCATGGCTAACACAGGTCAAGACCTCTCTAGACTTGTCCATGGTCACCTGAGACACAGATTCCTCACCAATGTAGATAGGATCAGTGTTACCTTTAAATTCAGACAGCACCTGCTTGAGAGGTGAAGAACCAACAGTCTGCACATAAATAAGACAGATGTGTAAAACAGATATGCACACAAAACTTAGGCCGTGTGAGAAGATCAAAACCCAAAAGTGGACGATCACCCAGGACTTTCCACCTGAGTTGACAGCCAATGCGAAGAAGAAATTTCTACAAATCTTGAATATGACAGGTAAAATATTGTAAACAAGATGTTATCACAGTAGGTGACAAACAGTTCTCTGAAGTTACACAGACAGCGAAAATAAAAAGTGGAAGTCAATTACATACAAGCTGTTTGTCTGTGAATTCTGTCTAGTGATTTTGGTTGTTGCTACTTGCTAAATATGACTTAATGCAGCAGCATGGCGTTTTTGTGTTATAATGAAGGATCTTGTAAATGGAAGCAATGTTTTTCCAGTAAAAATCTTAAAACAGACATAAAAACCAATCGCACAATCTATCTGTGTAGGTTTAAGGTTTACATTTTATAGGGGGAAAAAAAAGAATAGATTCACTGCCCGTCAACAAAAATATGTCTAATTTTCATGGCGAATGCAGAAAAAGAAGAAAGAACAATTTATTGCCTGGCATATGTCTCTGTATAGCTGTCCACCTTCCACCACACATGTCTACGTAGAATTATCAAAATTTTCTGGCCAGATACAATCTCAAACACTAAACTACTTCAAGCCACAAACCAAGAAACTTTAGACAGTATGATTACCAAGAGAAGATGGAAATGGCTTGGCCACGTTATGAGAATGACTTCTGATATACCTGCCAATACAGCTCTCACATGGACACCACAGGGAAAGAGAAAACAGGGGCGCCAAAAAACAACATGGAGACGAACCATGGAAAGTGACCTGAGATCGGCATCTTTGACATGGAAAACTGTACTGAAGATTGCACAGGACAGGAAAGCATGAAAAGTCCTATCTGAAGCCTCATGTGCCACTAGGCATAACGAGAACTGATGATGATGATATGTCTCTGTATCTAGTCAGGTGCCTACTACAATAACAACTCAATCTAGTCTGTATTTTAGTTAAAATGATTAATTTTTTACCCTAACTGCATTTAATTATTACTGCAGTAAGAGCCTGACGAAATAGAGCATAATATGCCAGGCATTAAACTGTGATATCTGTTGTTTGTGTCTTCTGTGTTCTAAACTTGTGAATTTGATCTACATTTTGTGTTTGCCTTTTACCTAAAAAAAAACCACAGCTTGTTTTTTTGCAGTAAGACATTTAATTTGTGTACAGTTTTTAAAAAAAAGGCAGGCAAAGGTGGATTAGTACAGAGGGGCACATATGCGACACAGTGGAGCTGAAGAGGGACTGAGTTTAATTGCAGGCAAAGATGGATCAGTACAGAGGTGGGCACATACGGAACACAGTGGAGCTGAAGTGAGACTGAGTTTAACTGCAGGCAAAGGTGGATCAGTACAGAGGTGGGCACATAGGGGACACAGTGGAGCTGAAGAGGCACTGAGTTTAACTGCAGGCAAAGGTGGATCAGTTCAGAGGTGGGCACATAGGGGACACAGTGGAGCTGAAGAGGGGCTGAGTTTAATTGTAGGCAAAGGAGGATCAGTATGGAGGTGGGCACATAGGGGACACAGTTGAGCTGAAGAGGGACTGAGTTTAATTCGCACAGGTTGTGATGGCAGCAACATTCTGAAACAGACTTGCTACACAGTGATGAGTGCATAAAAGAACACAGAACAACAACTTACCACAAATATCAGTTCAAACTCATTGTCGAGTTTGTATTTTAGCAGCAGCGACTCATGGGAAAACGTATTGTTTCCTGTTCGCTCCTGGAAAATACAATGCAAATAAATGATCACTGATCTTTATCATTGGCTGTAATGCAAAACAGTTGTTCTTAAACTAGCTTAGTTCAGGTTATGTAGAACACGTTCCTATCAGGGATATCTGGAATGTGAATCAACAAATCTGGAGAACTGAGGCAGTAGAGACCCTATGCAATTACCGCTGTGTATCTATTTAGCTGTTGGCACCTTTCCATTTTTCCAGAATATAGTGTGCTATAGGGAGTCGGGGGCTGAGTGGTCTCGGGGTATGGCATTTGCCTCAAGCGCTGGAGGTTCTAGGTTCAAACGCCGGTGAAGGCTGGGATTTTTTTCAAGTGGACTTCTAACGGTCTGTGGGTAGTAAGACTGGACGCCCGTGTGTATTGTTGCGCATGTAAAAAATCCCTTGGAAATCGAAAAAGAGTAGCCTAACTGAGCTGCCTGGACAAAATTTAGAGTTAGAAATCTACCCAAAGTATTTCAGGATCCTCGCCGGTGCAATGGAGTTTGTGACCTGCACTGAGATTCTTCTAACTCATGCTTGAGTTAGAAGTAGAATGGAGCACTTTTAGGTTACACGCGTATGCCATGATGTTGATCCGTGAAATAAACATAAACACAGAGAGTCACAAGAATCACCAGCATGGGCAGGACTGTATAGATCATTTAGCGCCCCTGCAGTATAATCCCCTTTTGGCTTTCCTTGTTTAGTCCAAAGGAAAGGTAACACCACTATGTGTGGATCAAACCAAGAGGTAGAATTTGCCAGATGTAAATTCAAATGTCAGAGCTACACTCGTAGACTAGCTGCCAACGAAGGCTAACACATTGGTCTGCACAGTCATAATATCTATGTTTCCAGGTTGCACTTCCTCGTCCTAGGATAACGCTAGTATCCTCTCCAATGCACTAATCCACCTGAAGCCACAATGTGGGATATCAGGTTTCATATAAACCACACAACATTCGGCGCTAACAGACAATATGTAGTACCGATCATTATTATTACACGGCAGCTCCATCACATCTGACCAAGTCCAAACATGAAGTACACATTGGTCGCGGCATTAGGAAGGTTGAGAACCACTGGGTTAATGGAAAGAATATGATATACAATTATTTTTTTTTAAACCCAACTGTTCTTTGGTGGTGTAATTAGAGTAGTATTAGGGAACTTTATGATGACTGGAAAGATCAATGAGTGATGCTGAAGCCCACCATGACCGTACAATCAGCGACCAACACACTGTGACACAAAGTGCCACTACTCGGATGAGAATCCCTGAGGTGCAATTCCCAAAAACCCCATTTAACCATTAGGTTATTAATATTCTGTTTCACTGTTGTTTATGAATTCTTTGGAGAACTAAGTTTAAACTTTTAGCCATGATTCTCAGAGAAGCCACAAAACCAACACTTCCGGTTAGGTCACTCAACAACTTTTCTGGGTGATTTGTTTATGAGATTATAGCTAATGCCACTGGTTGTTTTTATGCCTGCGCAACATTTAGGTCAGGATATGAACACACTTACTTAAAATAGCCTTTAAGAATTTAGGGCTGGTAAACCACAAAGCATTTTTTGTCTAAAGCCATGTTGTCGCCATATTTTCCTGTAACCATTGTGATACAGGCCATTGGGTCAGTCCCCTGATAACCTATTTTTAAGGTCCTAGGGAATGTATTTCGTTTAAAGCTTCGCTCTATTAATGTTTATTAATTACTCCCATTGTATATCTTTATATATTTTGATTTATTTTCAATGTATGTGAAATTTTTTTTTTAATAATCAAAATGGGTAAGATCATTCTACTCATGATGAGCATTAAAAATCATTTAAAAAAATACAATGTGCCATTTCTCAAAGGAGTTGGCTGCAATGCATCCACTCTTAACTATGGAAATTTTGTGTGGTGGGGCCCCCAAACTCTTTTTCATAGGCTTACTTGTATCAGAGTAAGGCTGGCAAAGGGACTTTCCCCTCTACTTTGTACTAAAATACCATCTCTTCAATAACTGTTCTGCAAACCTCTTCATTCCCTCTCTTTGCTCAGATAGCAGTCTCCATCTGCAAACTCCAGTGCAGAGTTCTTGCTGTTTGTCCACTTTCAGACTTGAATCCTGTTCCAGAACTTGTGTTTTGTCTGCAAATCCATTTGTACAGATCTGGTTTATTTGTATGCAGACAGCTGGTTACTCGCCTCTCAGGCAGATTCACTCTGAATTTGAAGAAAACATCAATCCTATCTACCTCTGCCAAGACCGGTTGCGAACTTGTTCTGAGGATGACCATAAAGGTGTAGATATGGTTTGACTAGTTTGTTTTCAGTCCTGAAGCACCACCATGAGTGGTTCAGCATCTTTGCATCCCAGACTGAATTAAAACCGGTTCTAAGGCAAACTTCTCTTTCTTTAAAACAATGGCAAACTATTTTATGATCGTTTCAACAGTAGTAAAGACAGCGAACCATTCAGGAAGCAATGGCAAACTACTGAACATAAATTTGCCTTTTAAATTGCAGACTTTCGGCGACTATACCGCCGAGAGTATCTCCTGCGCCACTAAGCACAGCGCTAAACTAGATGGCTAGGACTCACGAGCAGCAGCTTCCGCATCTCCTGCAGTTTTGCTTGTGATTCCCAGCCATCTAGTTTTGCCCCGCGCCGTGGGAGATACTCTCGGCGGTGGCGGTATAGTCGTCGAAAGTCCGTAATTTACATGGGACTGAGGGGCTGTTTTTCAAAGCCATAATATATGGCCGTTATCCAGAGGATAGCCAATAACTCTTTCTGTCCCAATTGACACTCAACAATGTGTTATTAGCTATTACCTCTGTGTTATCACTGCAACACAACACGTTATATTGTTCATGTTAGGCCTGTGTTGCTAAAGAAACATGTAAAAATATTTTACTATGCAGCACAATGTATGTTGTGTTTTTGAAAGGAACACGCTGATTTCTGATTTCTCTCTGTTTGATTGATGTACAGGTTCTATTAGCCGCAACATTCAAGCTTCTTTTGTTATATTATGAAGCTCGCTGATCTACTTACTCTTCGTTCGATTTTTATATCTTTCACTGATTATTTGATGCTGTGCCGAATTGGGTTTTTGGGGACTGAAAGAGTTAAGGTTCACTGTTAAGATACCAATCCTCTTATGTCTTAATAAATTCACCTTTTCTCGTGTGGGCTTCTGGGCATCATCGGGGATGGAGGTGGGGGGGGGGGGGGGGGGGGAGGGGAGGGGGACACCACCCCCCCCCCCCCACAACAAACATATATAGGCAATTAATTCTAATAATAGAGAGTAGAACCCTAATTCTACACTAAAAGGAAGGTAAGTGAAAATTATGCAGTGACTGAACTGAAGTAATAGCGTTTACGATCATTTAGTGACCCACTTAAAAACGAAAGTAGAGAGCGCTTAGTTACAAGATGGAGTCGGTGGTCCACGGAAAATGGCTCCTTTGCGTATCAGTTACTTTGAAAACCCGTCGCTCAACACTGGCTGTTCTGAATCGAATACGTAGGCTCAAAGTTATTCAGAAGAGGTTGCTCTACAAAACGACACCTAACTTACGTAGCGATCTTTGTTCAACCTAATAAATTTCCCTATTTGCCATGCGGGAAGTAAATTTTCTTTAATATCTCTTGTTTTCGGTAAAATAAAAGACTCTAAAGTGACATTTTTGGATTCTGTGTCCATTTTTACATAAAGTTGGGCAGTTTTGTTGGAATCTGTACAGGACGAAGTTGAAATTTTAAATTTGTTCCCAATCGTGTTTTGAGATCTAAATCGGAGATTTCTCAAAATGGCCGCCACGTGGTCTAAACGAACCGATTGATTAATATCTAGTTATTTATAAAAACAGTTGAAAAATAATGCAAGTTTTGTTTCTATTAATCATTTAACGGTTTCTAACTTTCATTTGACATCAGTTTTAATAGTTTTAAATAGCTGAAAATAATATTTTACCACGTTTTTGATATGGACCATTTGGCTAGGGTATTTTGAGCATTGAAAATGGACACAGTCATTGGTTTGAACATTTTTTAAAATACTTTTAAATCACATTAAAGTAGTTTTTAAATCATTTTTAAAATCTTAAGCCATTATATAATTTTTTAAGCCAAAACCTATCATTGGGCATAAAGGACCTTACCTGTTTAAGGCATTTTTACCTGCTGACCCCCACTCTCCGCTCCCAGATTGACATTTAAAAAATGTCTGCCATATATTTCTGCACTATGATTTTGTGGTGCATTTTTATTGTCTTAGATAGTAAAACAAGTACAATTTATGACTGATACTATGTATTAGTATTAAAATTGTAGTTTTTACTTCCTTAGATTTTAGATATGCTTATTTAGAAAGTTGATAATTAATTAAATTAATTAAAAAAATATAATTTGTTTAACTGCATAAGTATAAGTTTACTTACTTACAGCTAGGGCTACTTACAACTTATGATTAATAATATTTGATCATTTTTTATATATATATATATACTAATATATACTAGCCAGCAAACAGATCACGTAGGACATAGATACTTATAAAAATTAAAATGTTATTTTTCCTCTTACCTTATGAAATCCTGCTCCATGAAAACACAACATAAATCCAAAGCGAATCACAAATGAGCTTATTTAATAATTTTACTCCATGAAAAACATAGCACTGAATCACAAATCGGGCGGTTACCTTAGATTATTTTGAACAAGTAAATAAAATATCGAGCTGTGACTAGTTAAGAAGAAGAGGGGAACGCTATGGTGAAATGTCCTCATCATCAATAAAATGAAAGAATAACTCGCAAAGACTGAAAAAAGGATTATGTTAAATCAGTAAGAAAGGCTCTCATTTTCACTTGGTTATAAAACAATATGGGGGTCTCCGTAGCAAAGTGGTCAAGCCATTAACCTCGCGCTCAGAAGGTTGCAGTACGTTCACTGCGTTGTTCAACTAAAAAAATGAATTTTTTTGGTTAGCGGAGACCTCTGAAGGCTGTTGCTGGAGCTACGGTATTCAGGCTTCGTGCTAAGCTCTTAGCATGCACTAGCCGTTCAGTTATGTGGAGAAAGACCAAGCCATACTAAACCAGTAACGATGCAATGAAGTCGATCCACTTGCTATTGAACATTTTTTAAACAGTGTAATAAAGCAAAATTTCGGTCAGATGTATGCACACACACACACACACACACACACAAGTGACAGTGCGAGAAAAAGCATTATTCAACAAACAGAAAGAGATGCATCATAGCAGGAAGAATAGTTACAAAAGTATATATATATATATATATATATATATATATATATATATATATATATATATATATATATATATATATATTACAGTATATGTCTTGCAAGACTCACTGGATAATAATAATAAATTCATAAGGTATTTAATGAATACTGATAAATTGACTCATTTTTATGTTATTTAGGTTTGCATCACATCATATTTTTTAAAAGGCAACAACTTTAGTTAGAGCTTGCTGTCCTGAAAGCAATGACATATGGTTGCTAAGGGGTTCAGCCAAAAACATGAGAGTTATTGACATTAAACATGATAAATTGAGGTCCAGTTTTCACTTGGGAACATGCCGCCATCTTGTTTCTGTGTTTTCCATTATAAATTTTTTGGGCAACTTTCCGTCACTGAAATGTGAATATCTCCACTTAGAATTGACATACAGACTTCATTTAGGTACCGTTGGACTCGGGTTTTCAACCTCTATTCAGCTGTCTTGGTTTAAGTTTAAAAGTAAAAAACCCAATTTTTAAATTTTGACTAAAATAGCTAGAAGTATGATCATTATGATGCTACATCTGAACATGTAAAAATCGTGTACCTGAAGTATCACAGACTTAATCAATGCGTTAACAGACGTGGTAAACAGCTGAGACGTGCCCTGGAAACACCAGAGTACGATGCCGCCTTTACTAAAGATGGTGAAGAAGTCCAACATTTCGAAGTTTCTGGCGAGCCCGTCCCTACAGCGTGATGATGTTGTCAATAACTGGCTTGTAATCAAACCAGCAGACTCTACCTGACAACTTCCTGTCTGCAATCAACTCAGCTGGAAAAAAAAATCTTGAAGTTAAACCAAAAAGAACTTACAAATACAACTTGATTCATTAATTAATTCATTCATTTATTTTCCAGTAGTGCCATTATATGTCAAATAGGGCTCGAAGTATAATCATCAGTTCCTTTCTATCCTGTGAAATCTGTTTAATATCATAGATGGAATTGACCCCAGCAGCTCGACACTTTAACTGCAAGTCGTCGTGGCCGAGTGGTTAAGGCGATAGACTAGAAATCTATTGGGATCTTCCCGCGCAGGTTCGAATCCTGCCGACGACGTTTTTATTTTACGATAGATTTTCAAATGTAAGTATGTACGAGTGTTTGTGCATGTCTGTGTATATATAGATATTTTTGTGGATATGGACATAAAAAAGCATATGAGAATGTGCGGTTGATTTATTATGAATGAATTGAATGTAAGGGCGATTGTGTATGCATGGGTTATTGTCACGGGTGAGTATATATGGATACGCGTAAATGCACGGGTAATTGTGTGTGAATGGGTGATTGTGTTTTAGTTTTTTTTTTAAGGTAAGACGACGGATCAACATCATGGCACAAGGATAGTAACCCATAAGTACTCCCGTTCTAATTCCCACTCAAGCCTGCTGACTAGACATCGACCTAACTGCTTCGAGATACTAAGCTAAGTGATTTTATGTAGTTGTGGGGTATTGTTTTATTTATGTATGTGCTAATGAAGGTTTAAAAAACCCGCAAATTTCACGTTTTGTTTGTGTTCGTTATATTGTGAAACTTGTTGATAAACTTTTCGTTCGCTTTTATATCTTTTCTTACATACCCATACAATCTAATACATACTCAAGAACCTAATCATACACAATCACCCATACATTCAAAAACACTCCCACACACACAAGCATTTAATCATCCATAAACACCCATACAGCCACAGACAATCTAACATACTCGTACAACCCCACACATACACAAGAAATTATGCATACATCATCATCATCGGGTGCCTTGCCGACTGGCTTGGGCGATCATGCCTCTCCATAATCTGCGATCTCCTGCAGCATGTATCAGTTCGTGTGCCGACACACCTCCATGCCATGCAACAAGACTGTCAAGCATCTTTTCTCGTTGTCTTTCTCAATCCCTCCTTCCACAGATCTTTCCAGTGGTCACAACATGTTCTATTTTCCCTCTTCTCATAACTTGACCGAAAAATGATGACTGTCTCCTTCTGATGTCTGTGATAAGTTGTCTTCTGGCTCCCGCCTCTTTCAAAACCTCTTGGTTGCTCTTTTTGGCCGTCCAAGGTATTCTAAGCATTCTTCTGTAAAACCACATCTCTGAGGCCTCAATAAATTGTTTGGCCTGCCTACCGATTGTCCAGGATTCACAGCCATATGTTAAAACTGGATGTATGTAGCAAGCAAGAATTCTTTTTCTAACTCTCAATGACAAGGATATATTGCACAAGATGTTTTTCATTTTATAAAACGCAATTTTTGCCTGTCCAATTCTGTTTCTTATTTCAGTTATGCATCTTCCATCTGATGTTATCCATGTGCCCAGATACTTAAATTTCTGTACTTGTCCTAAAATAACACCATTGACTTTTGTTACACATTTAGGAATAATTTGTTTCTTTGATACCACCATTATTTCTGTCTTCCCATTATTCAAACTGAGGCCCATTCTTCCACTTTCTAACACCACAATGTCTATCATTTCCTGTAATTCTTTCTGACTTGTTGCTATCAAGACTGTGTTATCAGCATAACGTAAATTGTTTATATTGTGCCCACCAACCACAATTCCTGGCATATCAATTAAAGATCTCATTATATATTCACTGTATTTTGAAAACAAATCAGGTGAAAGTACACATCCTTGTCGTACGGCCCTCTTTATGCTTTGAAATGTACCTAAACAGTTGTTAAATCTTATATCTGCTGTTTGTTGCCAATACATATTCTTTATTTTTCGTAGATCTTTCCCATCAATGTTTAATTTTTGTAACAGTTTGATTACTTCTTCATGCTTCACACAGTTAAATGCTTTTGTATAGTCTATGCATACATAGTCACTCTAAAAACACACATATATACACGAACACCCATACTATACTAACACCCATTCTATTGAGTTGTATTAAGTTGAGTCAAGAATTGACATCACAGCACTCGGGGAATTCCCATGCGTGCTTTGTCCTCATCTTCAGTAGCCAGCGCAGATTTCCAATACTGATGGTACCGGTCACAATCTGGTTATATGTCCGTCTTGCCTTCCTCTAAGTGAAGTGAGCTGGCCAGACCCTCTGGTTACACCCAGTTGCCTCATTCTTGCCTAACCTTGTTTCTCTACTATTGATACCGTTGCTTGTTTCCAAAGGGCATTGACCACATCTGCCTTGTCATGTATCAATTCACCACCCAGAGGTGCAGATCCAGCTAATCTGTCTGCCTGTTCATTAATCACTACGCCGACATAGTCTGGAGAAAAGATACAAAGCATGCTCACTACCCTTGACCTGCCGAGTAAAGCTTGCCACTCTGCTCGAAGCATCCATGTCTACACCGTTCTCAGCATGATTTCAGAGTCTGTTACATTACCCATACTGTGTGTGTGTATTCGAACTAAGCTAGCCTGCAACATTTTACCACTCTCTCTTGCAAATTTGTTAGTGTTATGTTGTCAATAGCTAATTAGTAGAGTACGTCTATAGCATTTATGTTTGAACGCTTGACCCCTCCTCCTCAATGCTGGACAGATTAATTCAGCTGGAGTGATCAGAAGAACTAGACGATTTTCTATGGGCAGAGAGGTTAGTTGCGTATCCTTTACAGGACGTTGCAGAACCAACCCCAACAGTCTCTGGCTGCAGTGTGGTTTTTCTAGGCAGATTTACGTCTAGTAGTTTGTCATTGCTTCCTGGACGGTCGGCTTTCTTGATACCACTGTCGAAACCAACGCAAGGTGCATGGACCGCAACTGGGATCGAACCCGGCGAACCCCACAGAGCCGACACGCGCAGAGAACAAACAGGTTTATTTGTCATCAGGGGAGCCCAATTAGTGTAGTGGCTAGAAACTCTCATGCCAGCCGGAGATGTCATAGGTTCCAACCTACACGGAGCGATTTTACGGAACTAATTTACATTGGTTGCGAGGTAGATCCAGCCTAAACTGGGTATCAGAAAATGTCCCGGAAAGTAAAAACGGCCGCTGGGATATTTACCACATCATCCACCGAGAATACCGATTCCTCAATGAAAATAGGGGTCTAGCATCATATGTCGGATGTGTAGAGGCGTGAACAATTTCCTTTAATTCATTTTCATCAGACTGCAGTCGAGATTCTTCACTGGCAACTGGGGAGGCAGACCGAGCTAGCCACTGACCAAAGCTTCGCACAATGCACGAACTCCGTAGCTTCAGCGACGATCAGCGGGAATGTACTTAAAAAACTGCACTCTTAAACTGAATTTCGCGCGAGAAGCGAAACAATGAAAACCCCTCCCCCTTCCCCGCCCTTAAAAAAAAAAACACGCCAGCCAAACGGCTTGAACACGACCACAGAAGCCTGGACCACCATACATTTTCACAACAAAGCGTACATACTCTGGAACTTATATGATCAGTGAGAGATAGAAAGATAGAGAGCTCGACGAAGTGAAATCATCACCACTGGCCCCACTGCCATTATTGTGTGGTCTTATGATTTACCACCTGAGGATAGGAGTTGGGGCCGCATGGCTAGTGCTGTCATCACGGGCTGAAGCGCTACCTCCAACAGCGTCTATCATTTTATATGATGTTACCCTTAAAGTCTGTCTAGAATACTTTTACGTTATCTTCATGCTTCCATAAATCTTTTCATTTCGACAAGCTCCCCGTTTTGTTCTTCTCACATTGAGATCTAACACATTTTTAACTTTTACGTTGTCTTCCTGTTTCCACAAATCTTTTCATTTCGACAAGTTCCCGTTTTGTTCTTCTCAGAGTGAGATCTAACCAATTTTTAACTATCTCTTTCTGATATCGATGTTGTTGCTTTTTGGAGACTGCCTATTTCAAAACATTTAGATCACGAATTTTACTAAAATGCATTTAAAACATTTTGTTTTCTGTAGAATCTCATCTCTAATGAGCTTTAGGTTGCTTAAGAAGATCGAGAAAGGACGATTTAGAGAAGATGTTTGGTGTCACTAAGAAAATCTCGTCTGCCGGTAATAAGCTTCACTTTTGTGCCAGGGCACTCTGGGGTGAGAGGGAATGAACGAGAGGATTGGCTTGCTGGCAGGGCCACGTTAGGTACAGAAAAAACAATGGAACCAGCCTACATTCTCAAGCTCTCAAGCAGGCAGGACGAATGGATAATTCAGAAGACGACGGTGAGTGGGTAACATTCAAAAGACTACAAGAAATTCAGGTCACAAGAGGTGTTGCCAGACATGAACACTTTACAGGTAGCCAAAGAAGAATAGTAAACCAAGACATATCATGTTTCACATTTGACAGAAGCCTGTCCTTTAAGGACCACATGGAGAGTGTTGTGACAAGATGCCAGAAAGGATCACTGCTCTGAAGACTATGGCTGCAATTGACATAAAGCAGAGAATGATTTTCACACTATATCAGCATCTGATCCTGTCAGTGATTGATTATGGCCTGGGACTGCTTACCATCTCAAAGAGTCAGACGGACAAACTAGAACGCATACAGAACGTAGCTATGCGGGTCATTCTAGGTTGCACCATATACACCCCAGTGATGTATTTGCGATACATCCTTGGTTTGGCGACTAATGCAGGTAGGCACAAGGTGCTGCAGGCAAAGTCATATCTCAAGGTAGCTGCAGACACAGACCACCCTTTGCACGAAGTTCTGGGTGCAGTTAAGGGTCAACGGCTGATAAGAGGGAAGTCATGGATAGCTCCGGCAGAAGACACAATCAGACAGGTTTGCATCCTTGAGAACATTAGGCGAGGAGAGGAGTGGGTCAAAGTGCCACCTGACTTGTCAGACTTGTGTAGGGTCATAATCACACTGAGCCGGGAATGCGGAAATTCAGCAATTAATTCAAGATAATGCTCCCTCAGAGGATGTGATTATTTATACAGAGGGTTAAATGTCAAAAGGCAAAAGAAGTGCTTAGCAACAGTTAATAGTCGACATTTGGTGCAGGAGAGCCTAGTATATGATACCACAACATCAAACTTAAGAATAGAAGTGAGGGCGGTCAGTGCAGCTTTCCGCTGGTTAGAGAACACGAAACACACACTGGAATTGTAACTGACTCAGAAAGGATGCGGAGGAAAGTCAGGACAGGCATGCTTCGTGCAAAGTGGCATGCTTTACTGTGTAGGACAGGGGTAAGGAGTATAGTCTGGATTTTTCTCCGGGATACGCAGGTGTAATGGACAATGAACAGACGGACAAACTGTCTAGCTCTGTACAGCTTGATAGAATACATATACATAATGAGGCGAACTTGGTTTGGGCCTTGTGGGAGAGCGTGTACAGTTTGCAGGAGCAGATGGATCACCCAGTCTGGTGAGATTGATGCAGCGTGGAGTAGAGAGGGGTTCTGGCCGATGCTCGAGGCTCAGAGAAAATGCAACACGGACGTTTAATTCAGAAAGCTATTGGCACCTTTAATATTGGAACTCTGCGCTGGCTGATGAAGATGGGATCGGAGAGCTTATGGGCATGCCCCGAGTTCTGTGATGTCGGTTTTTGAATCAACTCATCAACTCAACTCGACGGAACCGGTATTATCAGTCGCCACACGCTGAGGGATATACTGAAAATGGTATCCGAGCGACGCTTATGGACTGTCCGAGGTGCAGTGAAGATAATCTGTCGAATAAATACCAAACAAATCTCTGATGCCTCAACGGTTTCTTTTTTGCATTGACTCATTTTCCAGGAAATGCAGGACCGTTTTGGTGTCTGAAGCAGGGCATTTTGAGACCCTCATCTGACAACAGGGGAAGGGGGAGGGGTGGAAATGAAGGGTACATCAAGATGCATAACCTCGCCCCCCCCCCCTACAAAAAAAAAATTTAGTTGCTAACTGTACTTATAGATACCAAGATATACTATTATACTCATTTGCCGTTCAGTTTATTACTATTATTATTATTATCCACTATTTTCATCGAAATTCCAAGTGAATGCAAAAACAAACAATTCACATTGCAATCTCTCTCTCTCTCTCTCTCTCTCTCTCTCTCCCTCTCTCTCTCTTTCTCTCTCTCTCTATCTCTCGCTTTCTCTCTCTCTTACACACATTGTTTTCTTATAAACAGAGCCCATAAAGTTTATTTTCTCATGAAACAAATACTTCAACATTTCAAAATAGTCCGAAACCAGGTAAAACCAGTTAATAATAGAGATAAGAATTCAATTGGATAGGCATTGTTAGAAATCAGCTAACAATTAACATCCGAGTTAAACGTAACAGATTTTGAAAGAAGAAGAAGACCGGGATGTTCTGGTGAGGTTCAATTCCTAGAGGCTGCTGGGTCAATTCCTAGAGGCTGCTGGGTCAATTCCTAGAGGCTGCTGGGTCAATTCCTAGAAGCTGCTGGGTCAATTCTTAGAGGCTGCTGGGTCAATTCCTAGAGGCCGCTGTGTCAGTTCCTAGAGGCTGCTTCACTGAGGGTGTCTGTGTTTATAGACTGTTCATTGTACCTGGAGACAATGTAAACGTGCAACATAACAATTGTTATCAGAATCATAAATTTTCTGCAAAATTATATAAGGTAAAGTAATGATCCCTTTGAACGCCGGCGGTACATCGGGTATGTGAGACTAGACGTATATTTTTTAAAGACCAAATTGTTTTCACTTCGATGGGTAATAAGGTCAGCACAACGCCGTCCGCCTTTCTTTCACAGGACTTTGGTACCCATTTAAAGGTGGGTCGACTAAGGAGCCAAGATTCTAACTACAACCTTCGGATCTGAAGGTGAGCTTCAAAAAACTACACCAAAGCGGCTCCCTAGCTTATATACATTATGGGAAAGAAAGAAAACACAAAGAAGAAGAAAAAAGAAGAAGAAAGAAGAAAAAGAAGAAGAAGAAGAAGAAGAAGAAGAAGAAGAAGAAGAAGAAGAAGAAGAAGAAGAAGAAGAAGAAGAAGAAGAAGAAGAAGAAGAAGAAGAAGAAGAAGAAGAAGAAGAAAAAGAAGAAGAAGAAGAAGGAATAGACGTAGCAGAAGAGGAAGAAGAAGAAGAAGAAGAAGAAGAAGAAGAAGAAGAAGAAGAAGAAGAAGAAGAAGAAGAAGAAGAAGAAGAAGAAGAAGAAGAAGAAGAAGAAGAAAAAGAAGAAGAAGAAGAAGAAGAAGGAATAGACGTAGCAGAAGAAGAAGAAGAAGAAGAAGAAGAAGAAGAAGAAGAAGAAGAAGAAGAAGAAGAAGAAGAAGAAGAAGAAGAAGAAGAAGAAGAAGAAGAAGAAGAAGAAGAAGAAGAAGGAATAGACGTAGCAGAAGAATAAGAAGAAGAATAAGAAGAATGAAGAAAGAAGAAGAAGAAGAAGAAGAAGAAGAGAAGAAGAAGAGAAGAAGAAGAGAGAAGAAGAAGAAGAATAAGGAAGAAGAATAAGAAGAAGAAGAAGAAGAAGAAGAAGAAGAAGAAGAAGAAGAAGAAGAAGAATAAGAAGAAGACGAAGAATAAGAAGAAGAAGAAGAAGAAGAAGAAGAAGAAGAAGAAGAAGAAGAAGAAGAAGAAGAAGAAGAAGAAGAAGACGACGACGAAGAAGAAGAAGAAGAAGAAGAATAATAATAATAATAATAATAATAAGAAGAAGAATAATAAGAAGAAGAAGAAGAAGAAGAAGAAGAAGAAGAAGAAGAAGAAGAAGAAGAAGAAGAAGAAGAAGAAGAGTTAAATGTTGAATTAAGAATAGACATCACAGCACTCGGGGAACTCCTAGAAGCGCTCCATCCCCATCTTCAGCAGCAAGCAAAAGTTCCAGTTCCGATGACACTAGTAACTGTTCGATTGTATATTCATCTTGACCTTTTCCCTATTGTTGAGCGTCGGCCAGATCTCCTGGCAGCGTCATTCTTCTTAGGCAGCAGCAGCAGCAGCAGCAGCAGCAGCAGCAGCAGCAGCAGCAGCAGCAGCAGCAGCAGCAGAAATCGAAGGAGTATTATGAATAAAGCAAAAAGAGTTGTCATTTTTTTCCCCATAAACAAACAAAGGATGAGAGATTATCCTACGTCAGCGGAGGTACGCCGAGAAACAAAACACAACGATGAATGAACTAACTTTATAATGCTTTATTATTGGAATTCAAATATTGCCTTTCTATCCCCCAATGGAGCATAGGCCCTCAACCAACTCACGCCAAGTCGTTCTATCCTTCGCCATTGCATGGAGCTCTCCCCATGTCCTCCCCATCTTTCTAACTTCCTTCTCCAGCTCTCTTCTCCATGTGTTTTTTCTTCTTCTTCTTCTGCCTTTCTATACCCCAATGGAGCATAGGCCCTCAACCAACTCACGCCAAGTCGTTCTATCCTTCGCCATTGCATGGAGCTCTCCCCATGTCCTCCCAATCTTTCTAACCTCATTCTCCAGCTCTCTTCTCCATGTGTTTTTCGGCCTTCCTTTATTCCCATGCCCCTGTGGGTTCCAATGCAAAGACATTCTAGTTATGCTGTTCTCCTGTTTTCTCAGTGTGTGCCCTATCCAACGCCAGCGTCTTTTCCTCACCTCCTGATCCACTGGAGCCTGTTCAGTTCTCTCCCAAAGTTCTACATTAGTTATTCCATCATACCATTTTATTCCCTCTATTCTGCGCAGACACCAGTTAATGAATGTCTGTAATTTATTAGTAATTGCCTTGGTTGTTCTCCATGTTTCCGCCCCATACAATAGTACTGATTTGACATTAGAATTAAAAATTTTTAGTTTAGTATTTCTTTTAATTTCTTTTGACCTCCACAAATTCCCTAGTGCTATGAAAGCCCCTCTTGCCTTTTGTATTCTTATTTTAACATCTCGATCAGTTCCTCCATCTTTATCTACATTACTGCCTAAATAGGTGTACGACTCCACGTCTTGGAGTGGGGTGCCATTAAGATAAACCACATTACTATTTGCATGATTTATTCTCATTATCTTTGTCTTTCCTTTATGGATTTTCAGACCAAGCTGCTGTGATCTCGCATTAAGTATATTTAATTTATCTTGTATCTGATTCCGTGAATGGGACAGAAGAGCAATATCATCAGCGAAGTCCAGATCATCAAGCTGTTTTGTAGGGGTCCACTGAATTCCATTCTTGGTGTTAGCAGTTACTGTTTTCATAGTCCAGTCTATAGCCAGTAAAAATAAGAGAGGCGACAAAAGACATCCCTGTCGCACACCTGTTTTTATTTTAAATGCATCTGTTAGCTTTCCCTCATGAAGAACACGACATTTCATGTCTTTATATGTTGCCTTTATTAAGTTGATTATTTTCTGTGGGATTCCATAGTGCCCCATCAATTTCCAGAGAGATTCCCTATCAATGCTGTCAAATGCTTTTTCATAGTCTATAAATCCAATGTAAAGTGGTGAGTTCAGTTCAATGCTTTGCTCTATTATAATACATAATGTGGCTATCTGATCAGTACAGGATCTGTTTGACCGAAAACCTGCCTGCTCATCTCTTAGCATTTTATCAATAGCATCTTTTAATCTTTCCAAAATAATTCTACTTAAAATTTTTCCTGGAACTGACAGCAACATAATTCCTCTATAGTTTTCACACTCCTGTAGATCACCTTTTTTGGGCAGTTTCACAAGATATCCTTCTCTCCAGTCTGCTGGTATTTCTTCGGTCTCCCAGACTTTACTGAATAATCTATGTAACAATTCTGTTGATGTGTTTATGTTGGTCCTGATGGCTTCAGCTGGGATACCATCTGGGCCTGACGCCTTTCCTTCCTTAAGAAGATTTATAGCTTTTCTAATTTCCTCTTTGGATGGTATCTCACAGTTGATATCCAGTTCCATTTCTAAAGGCTGGATACCTGGGGGAACCTCTGGGCCTGGTCTATTTAGAAGCATTTCAAAATATTCAACCCATCTGTCCATTTGATCTTTAGTGTTAGTAAGTACCTTTACTTGACTATTTTTGATTGATCCAGTTGGCTGACTATATTTACCTACTAATTTTCTTGTGTTACTGTAAAGTTCTCTGAGGTTTCCTTTTGCTGCTGCTGTCTCCGCTTCTTGTGCTAGATCATTTAGATATTTCACTTTATCTGCCCTTATATGCCTCCTAACTTCCTTGTTGGCTTCTGTGTAATTCTCATGAGCTCTAGCTTTAGCAGCTCTAGTTTTGCTATTGTTTAATTCTGCCTTTTTACTTTTCCTATCTTCAATCAGTTTAATGGTTTCTGGTGTTATCCATGCTTTATGTTTCCTTTCTTTCCTGCCAAGAACTTCTACGCAAGATTAATTCCAGATTCCTTTGATCTGATCCCAGCAGACTTCTGTGTTGACATCTTCAGCTAACTGCTGCAACACCTGGTACTTATAAGAGACCGTAACTGAGAACTGTTCTTTAATTTCTTTATCTCTGAGAAAGCCTACATTATATTGGTTTCTATGATTATAAGAATTTATATATCTTTTTTAGTTTCAACTTGATTTTACTTATCACCAGGAAATGGTCAGTAAATACATCGGCACCTCTGAAAGCCCTAACATCGTAAAGGGATGATCTAAACTTTTTTGTTAATACATATGTGGTCAATTTGATTGGTTGTCTTATGGTCTGGTGATTCCCATGTTGCCTTGTGTATTCTTTTATGGGGAAAAATACTTCCACCAATAACAAACTGGTTCTTCTTCTTCTTCTCTTCCACCTTGTACCTCATCGAAGTGTCGGGGGGAGATGTAATGTTCGTTGATGAGCTCTGTCAAGAGCACTATTAAAATTGATGTTCATTTCTGTAAGGCTTTTCTTAATGCCATCACTCCATATTTTCCGAGGTCTTCCACTCGCTTTATACCCGTTGTAACGTTTTAGTGTGGCTCGCTGTGGCAGATAGTACCAGGGCATTCTTGTTAGGTGTCCAAACCATTTCATTTGTTGTTCTTTGATGACCTATAAGACTGGCTTTATTCCTAGCATTCGTCTGATTTCATGATTTTGTATTCTGTTTTTCCTTGAAACTCCTGCAGCTCTTCTAAGGCATTTCATCTCTGTTGTCACAATTTTACGTTCATTGGAGGATGTAAGTGTCCACGTTTCGCACTGATAGCATAGTATTGGCCCAAAAAAAAAAGTTCTGATAAGATTCACTTTAGTACTCTGAGGTATCTGCTTGTGTGTCAACAGGGGAGATAGTTGACCCATTACTTGATTAGCTTTGGCACATCTGGAGCTAATTTCTCTGTCCAGTTTTCCGTCTGAAGTAAAAATTGCTCCCAAATACTTAAATTCCTCTGTTTGTCTCAGGGTGTTGTTTTTTAATTTAATTTCTAAACTGTCTTTATGTCTTCCTATCATCATTGTCTCTGTCTTCGTAGTGTTTATTTTCATATTATATTCCTCCCCTTTGTTACTAATTTGATTTAGGTGGTTCTGTAGGCATTCCATATTTTCTGCTATGAGTACCTGGTCGTCGGCGAATAGTAATTCTGTTATATCTTCTCCCTGATTAAAGTCTGTTTCGCTACATATGGCGTCCATGTATGTTATGAAAAGAAGCGGCGATAGTACACAGCCCTGACGCACACCAGAGTTCACTATAAAAGTTCTAGACAACCCTGCCTTTGATCTTATGCAGTATTCACTACGTGTGTACAGGCTTTTGCAAATATTAATGAGATGATTGCTGATTCCTTTTTTCCCCATACATTCCCACAACAGATTCCTGTCGACTCTATCGAAGGCTTTTTCTTGGTCTATGAATGTCAACAAACATGTCTTATCATGTTCTATTGCCCTCTCTGATAGTTGTCTCAATGTTTAAATGGCATCTGTGCAACTTCTGTTTCGTCGAAAGCCCATCTGTGCTTCTGAAAGTTGATACTCTATCAATGGTCTCAGCCTTTTTTCGATGATCTTAGCATACATTTTCCCAGTGTGACTGAGTAGTGATATTCCTCTGTAATTCGTACATTCCCTCTTACTTCCTTTATTTTTCCACAGCGGGACAATGACAGCAGTTTGCCAATCTGATGGTGTTTCTTGATTTTCCCATGCCACACCTGAAATATTATCTTTAACCATATTGCTCCCGTTTCTCCTGCTGTCTTGATGGCCTCAGCTGGTATATCATCAATACCTGTCGCCTTTAGTCTAGGCGCGGTTCGAATGACATATTTTACCTCATCCAATAATATACCTGGTTCTAGTTCCTCTGCTGTTAGTTCCGAGTTGTTTTTATGTTCTTCCCTGCTTTTATCTGTTTTATTGCAGCTAAGTAATGCTTCAAAGTAATTACTCCCCGTTGCTAAGATTTTAGTAGGTTCTATTAAAGGTTGGCCAACTTCATTATTTATAATTTCTGTTGGGTTGTATTCTTCATTCCTGTTTCTCATGCATTTGATTTTTTTGTAGTAGTTTTTCACTGCTGATCTTTCTTCTTCAGCCAGCTTGCTTCCAAACTTTTCCCATGAATCTCTTTTTGCTTTTCTGATAGTTCTATTTACTTCTCTTATAATTTTCCTGTATGTTATGTAATCCTCTTCTGTTCTGCTCCTCAACCAAATGCCATAAGCTTTCTTTTTACTGCTCACAATACTTCTTTTTTCTTCAGACCACCATGTTGAGAGCTTACACCCTATGTTACATTTCCTTTTAATTCCACATATTTCTTGTGCTATTTTCATAGTGGTGTCTCTGAAATTCAACCATTCTGTATTTAACCCCAAGAGTGTTTTGTGGAAGCTGTTCATAATTTTCCTGTAATTTTTGCTGAAACGCTCGCCTGTTTTCTTCACACTCTAGTTCTTTCTTTTTTTTTTATTATGTCACTTTTTTTACATTTATTTTTGGTTTGATAACTTATCTTGATTTTTCTGTCAAGGATCACCATCCTATGATCTGTATCTAAACTCAAGTTTGGTATAACTCTCGCATCTGTAACTTGATGAAAGTCTCTTTTTATCGTCAAGATGTAATCAATCTGACTCTTGGTAACAAACTGGTTACCTGCACAAAAAATGTGTGAACAATTCTCCATTTTTATTCATTACTCCTAGACCATGTCTCCCCATAATTTCTTCATAACCTGTGTTGTCTGATCTTATCTTAGCATTCAAGTCACCCATCAACATTTTTAAGTTGCCCTTTCTTTCATTATTTATAATATTTTGAAGCTGCAGGTAAAATTCTTCCTTAACAGATGCATCTTTATCATTTGTTGGTGCATAAAACTGTATTACCGACATGTTCACCTTCTGTTTTACTGTTCTAAAAGATGCTTTTATTATTCTGGGACTCACAGCTTCCCATTCTATTAGTGCCCTGTCTGCTTCTTTTGATAGCATCAGGGCCACTCCTTCACTGTGCGGCGAATTTTCCTCTGTGTGTCCTGAGAACAAAATAGTTTTTCCTGAATTAAGAATACTTTTCCCTGTCCCAGACCATCTAGTTTCACATAATCTCAAAATACTAATTCTATAATGTTTCATTTCCTTTGCTACTTCCATTGTTCTCCCTATATCATAGAGAGTTCTAACATTCCAGGTGCCAATTCTGGAGGTTTTCCTAGCTGAGAGGAGGTAAGTCAACGATCCGGACTCCTTACGGCTATGTGTTTTTTGGCCTTCCTTTATTCCTATGCCCCTGTGGGTTCCAATGCAAAGACATTCTAGTTATGCTGCTCTCCTGTTTTCTCAGTGTGTGTCCTATCCAACGCCAGCGTCTTTTCCTTTTCTCTTGGTCCACTGGAGCCTGTTTAGTTCTCTCCCAAAGCTCTACATTAGTTATTCTATCATATCACTTAATTCCCTCGATTCTGCGCAGGCCCCAGTTAATGAATGTCTGTAATTTATTACTAATTGTCTTAGCTGTTCTCCATGTTTCCGCCCCATACAATAGTGCTGATTTGACATTAGAATTAAAAAATTTTAGTTTAGTATTTCTTTTAATTTCTTTTGACCTCCACAAATTCCCTAGTGCTATGAAAGCCCCTCTTACCTTTTGTATTCTTATTTTAATATCTAAACAGGATGATACTTCAGAGAAACTGACTTGGATCGCCGCAAATGTCATATGGGAGCGAAATGAAACTGATATCCCAGTTATAGGCAAATCATTAGGCGGTAGTGGTGGTAGAAGTAGCAGCCGGAGCAGCAGTAGTAATATTAGTATTGTGGCGCTGGTAGTGGTAGTAATAGTAGTTGTTGTGGCGGTGTTAGTAGTTGTGGTCATAGTAGAAGTAGCGGTAAAAGAAGCACAAAATGAAGAAAGGAGAAGAAGAAGAAAAAGAAAAAGAAGAAGAAGAAAAAGAAAAAGAAGAAGAAGAAGAAGAAGAAGAAGAAGAAGAAGAAGAAGAAGAAGAAGAAGAAGAAAAGAGGAATAATAACAACAACAACAAAACAACATCAACAATAACAACAACAAGGGGGAAAAATAGGTAGAGTAGCGAAAAAAAAGATGCATTGATTGAAACATTGAAATTTCAGGATTAAAAGAAATGATGTTTAAAAAAAGATTATAACATGCTGACAATATTTTGAAATCACCACCCGGGGTGGCTGAACCCCAGACAACCCACAGCAAATTTTGCAAGGGAGCTATGTGGTCCCCCACCCCACCCCCACACTCCCAGCCAGGCATAGAAGCTCTCTCTTTAGTATTTTTCAGTTATCATGAGCATTCACTGTGCCGTAAGCGTAGACTGGCATATTTCGCCATCTCACTCGATCGCCAGAATCAGATCAATAATATTTGTGTTTCGTACAATCCATCTCACCATGTCATCCAGGTATTTATATCTTTTTCCTTCCTCTCGTTGCTCTCTTTCCATTAACCTTGCTAGTTGTTACCAAGTTCTGGAGTCCACTCCTCTTTTTTACATGTAAAAAAAAAAAAAAAAAAAAAAAAAAAACTTTCTACGTCTAACTTGTTATAGGTTTACAACTCTAAGAACGAAGGAACGAACAAACTTTATTTTCAAAGGGTTACAAATTGGGCACGCATCCCCGTCTGACACTCGGCTCTTCTAAGCACTCATTTTTCAGAGTACCAATGTCTGTTATCAATAATGCATGTTATGGATGTAAGATATCTTGACAAGGACTGCATTTATCATGATTTCATAGATATCATCATCTTTCTTTACCATTCTGCAAAAGATGGTGGTGTTTAGGATGATGATAATAATAGTAAAAATTAGGCACTTAATGAAATCGTAAGTCCAGGTTTTAATCTGTGTGTTGTTTTGGCTGTTGGCAAAGGTAAGCGGTACCGGCAGTTTGTTCGCGCATCATTTCCCCACTGCTCTGCTATAATAAACACTTTGTGATAAGCACCAGAACAAATTTCTGCTTAAACTTCTCAAGGATTCGTCCAAGAAAATAAAGAAGGGTTAGGGGTACCCCACCCGGGGATCGCCAAAATTTGTTTTGTGTTGACGCCTCTGCCGGTTTTGTGTTGTAGATATTTCTGAGAGTTCTGACTTACGTCTCTACCGTCGAGTGCAGGAATAACCGGTATGAGAGATCCAATGATTTTCCAGAGATCGTCAAGCCCTTTCTCCTGTGTAAAAAAATATTCATATTTTGAGAAATAATGTACTCTAACGCATTTGTTCAACAGAAAATCAAAACATGGGACTTGGTTGGGACAGCAGAAAAGCAGAAGTAATGATAATTACAAAGAAAAAGGGACCTCCCAAATTCAACGTCAATGTTGAGGGAAAGTTTTCAAGCAGATTGATCTGTTTAAGTACTTGGGCCAACCGTGACACACGGGAGAAATATATTCTGGAGAAGGCGGTGGATGACAGGAGATGGAAAATGTGTTAGATTTGAAAATCGGATCAACATCATGGCACACAGTTGTAAACCATAAGTGCTCCGTTGTTCTTCTAACTGAAATATCTGAGTCTGAAGAAGCTCAGCACAGTGCACAGCCTCTGTAGCATCGACATGGATCCTGATATACTGTGGGTAGATATTTTTAAATTCCAAATTTGACTCAGGCAGTGCCGTTAGGCTTCTCTTTTCGATTGCAACTGCCAAGGGATTTTGTAAGATTAACAATGCACACAGGCTTCCGACCTCACTACCTAGAGACTAGGGGGGGGGGGGGGAATTACTAGAATTTCAAGTCCACGTGAAAAAAGCCCAGTCCTTACCGGGGATTGAACTCAGAACCTCTATCACTCGAGGCGGACACCATGCAGACCACGCAGCCCCCTTTGGAAGATGTATTAAAGAAGTTAAAAGTAGAATACTTCAAACAAAGACACCATTTCACAAAACAAAGCGCATGCATAGCAAAAAGCAATAATTACCACGTGTTTTCCCAATAATATTTGTAAATTCAGTTCTTTTAGAACCAGTCATCGTGCGTTTGTTAGTTTCCGCTACATATGCTTGTATTAGGCTTTTCTGAACTCACTGTAAACCCCTTCGTTGTTCCACTCACTAATTCTGCCCGGTTTTTACAAGGGGGCTACAACGGTCTGTGAGCAGTATGGTGCTGTCAGTTCAATACATGTATGAATGATGTAGGAGGTTTCAAAAGGGGAGTGACTTTTGTGACAGACTTTATACAGCCGAGTCAGTAGTGACCCCGAAGTCGATCACAGTTGTTAAAGGCGTCAAACAGAATGAAATATTGTGTTAAGTTTTCATATTCTAAACTAAATTATCGCCAATAGTTTGTCACTTAGATATCAATCATAATATCAAGACTGTTGCCACCATCTGACAGAGATTCATCAACGACAGAGCAGTATGCACAGTTCTAGACCTTTTCCATTATTATTTAGTATAGAAAAATCACGTAAAAACTACGGTCTGGTCCTTTCCCCCATTGAATACGCTCTGGCCATCCTCACTGTCAGTGCTACCCAGACTGAACGACTCGAAAATGAAGCCATGCGCATTATTTTGGGATGTACTAGAGACACATCCTGTGGAGCAATGAGGTATCTACTTGACTTTCCAACAATGAACCAAAGGATCAGGATGTGGAGGGCTCGGGCATATCTCAAAATATGTGCTGATAAGAAACACCCACTGCATCAAACGTTTTTTAGTGAAAAGGGCGACAGACTGAAGAGGGGGAAATCGTGGCTAGGTCGGGCAGAAGATGTTATTAGGCAAATATGCAGCCTAACCGACATCATACCTGGTGCAGAATGGATACCTGTGCCTCAGGCGTTTATTTGTACATTTTCCTGTATTGTCACACTCAACAGGCGATGTAGAGAAGAGAATCCTGTTGCTGTTAATGCAGAGGTCAACGCTCTCATCGGTGAAAATTCAGACGAAGCAGATGCAATAATCTATACAGACGAATCCGTTATACGCCAAAGAAGAAGCGCATGGGCATTTACAGCACGCTCAGCGGGCAGAACAGTCAAAGAAGCCAACGGCGCCTTCTCCATGACAACCAGCAGCATGACGATGGAGGTGATGGCAGTGACACAAGCGCTTGCCTGGCTTGAAACACAAAAATACACCCGCGTGTGTATACTCAGTGATTCAATGAGTATGATCCGGAGGGTTCAGGCAGGTTCAGTGCGAAGACAATCGCTTGAATCATTACAGAAGTCCACTGTCCGTGGAGTCACCTTTATTTTTGTTCCGGGACACGGAGGCGTCAATGGAAATGAAAGAGCTGACAGGTTGGCTGGATCCGCTATCACTACCGACGGTCAGCCTATGGATCATGCTGATATTATCAATGCCCTCAGAGAAATGGGAAGGATAGACGACGTTGGTGGCAGTGAATCCACGTCACTCGCCAGAATGGCAGACTTGGGAATTAAGATCGGCACAGCAAAAAACGAGACGCACACCAGCTACGCCAGAAGACTTGTTAATCAACATAGAACTGGTACTATTAGCCATCGGACGTTGGGGTTCATACTGAGGGGAGGATCTGAGCACCTATGGACATGTCCGGAGTGCAATGAGGATAACCCAACTAACTAACTAACTAACTAACGTAAAAACTGTATCCATCAAAATAATTTAAAAAAAAAAAAAAAAATTCAGAAAATTTTTCACCGACCACGATGAACTTCGCAAACCAAAGGACTTCCTGTTGTTAATCATAATTATTCAAAATCGTGTTCATAAAAGTTCGTTTTCTCCGTAAACGGAACAAAATTAGAGTGTCTCTATGATACGCTAGAATACTGGCGGTTAGTCCATTAGGGATTAATTCATTTGCCAGTATCCTGGTGAAAAGTCTCTAAAGAGTTAATGAAGCCGAAGCTGGCTTCTGTGAGCTGCTGTCATTGCTTATGACTCACAACCATAACACGAATACAAAAGAACCGGAAAAATTGCAATAGTTCGTGTTGAAAAATATATGCTAACCGGGGACTCATATTAACACATCCCTGCTGGTATCAATATTTCGTTCCCGAAAACCGAGTGTTCTTGGTAAGCTATTTCGTGTTACGAGGTTTGCTGCATTTTATCTCCTCAGATCCAAATACTGATTAATGAAAACAATAAATTCTGCTCCACTTGTTGGCTCTAGGTCCAGGTTTGTAGGGAGAAAAGAATAACGGATACAGGGCACATTGCGACTAGTGCTGGTACCATGGAAACCTGAACTATGCGCTGGCTGGTGATGAAGAGGGATGGAGCCCTTATGGAAATGAACCAAGTGCTGCGATGTCGATTCGTTTTTTTTTTTTTTTTTTCAATATCCAGAAACCATGAGTTGTCAACCCTTTGGCTCGGTACTTTGGATATCGCAACCCTTCGGGGTTGATTCCATGATAGGTACGGTAAATCTGGGAGAAAATGTGGCTTTTCTGCCCACCCCCGGGAGTGAACCCGGACCACAATGAGTTCGTCACCCGGTCACCGCACAGTCCGGTTAAGCCAACTATGCTAGAGAGCCGGGCTGTCGATTCATAACTATCTCAAAACACATATAACCATACCTCAACTGAAAACTCAACTCAACTCGATGAAGTAGGGACTTACCTCTCTCGTGGGTTGTTTAAGAGCATCGCGGTCTTTCACCACCTTTTCAATCCCTGCCTCCTGTAAATGCAAAGAGGATCATTTTAGTGAATGATCTCCCCTGTTGTAGCTGGTGCATCTCTGTGTCTGTAAGTGTGTTTGGTCGTTTGTGTGGCTGTCTGTGTGTTTACAGAGACGAACATATTTGGGAGAGGCCAAAGACACTGGGCTGGATTATCTCCATGATTCGTTATTGTTACTATTTAAGGATTGTTAGTAATTTTATTCCTGCTATTTTATTAGAACCATCGACATTATTGTTCTTTTTTTTGCCACCACTACAACGAGTTTTACTCCTTTATTCCCTCATCTCTCTAATCCAGTTTCGTTCTTTTAAGGACAAAATTTCTTGTTATATGAAGCCCCACCCTGGCTTTTTTCCAGGGGCCGCAATATAGGCAGGTCATAAATATGGCCACTGAATGCGGTTTCTGGGACCTCTCCACGGCGATCCTCATCCGCATGGTGGCACTTTGTGTCATCGGGTGTTTATCGCTTGTGTGATGTCCTGGTGGGGTAGAAAGTCAGTCAGTCAGTACTCCTTTATTATTACTATTATTATTACTACTGTTTTCCATCCTTCATTTAAAAAAAAAAAAATTAATTCTACATACTTTCATCTTCCTATTTAAAAAAAAAAAAATTATTCATATATCTGGGTGATTGGCCCTATGTTGTATTTGTGATTTATATCGAGAAAGGCTTGGCCGAAACGCCTACTTATCTTGTACGTGTATGTTACTACCCTTCCTCTTTCGTCAGGTTTTTTAGTCTCTATTCCCTGGATTAATTCCTTGGTTTTAGCTCGACTGCAGTCATCCCTGTTTTTATCAGAAAGATATAGTCAGGTTTTCTGTGTATGAAATGGGTCGCATCAATACAGATATCGGTGGCCAGAAACACATGGATTGTTTGCACAGTCTATTCAATGATGTTAGGGAATTATCAGACAGACAGGCCGGTTGGATTGACTCAGCTTGGCGGTGAACTGCAACTGCACACGACAGAGGTGATCATTTGCCTGTGGGAAAAGTTAACAAGTAAAATGGGAGATACCGAAACCCCGAACCTGAAGAGTATGGTGCAGCGGGAGCTATCTGAGGTCTCAGGGGGTCACGCTGCACTCGGAAAGGAGAAGGGTGGGAGGGGAGGGGGATTGCCAACAATCTAGGATATAATTTTGATAGCATTTTAGAAAATCCATGTTATGAACATTCTAGAGATACGATTTCTGGCAATATTTTAGAATTGCGCGTGTGTGTGTGTGTGTGTGTGTGTGTGTGTGGGTGGGTGTGGGTGTGTGCTTGACAATATTTTAACGATACCATTTATTATAAAATTCTAGGGATATCATAAGTTGAAACATTCTATGAATTCTATTTGTGTTAAAATTACTGAGATATCATGTTTTTTAACAGTCAAAAAACATCTTGGTGGTCACAACATAGTACAGTAGAACCTCGCTTAACGAGCACCTCTCATAACGAGTAATTCGCATAACGAGCAAAACAAATTGTAAAAGAAAGACTTGCTTAACGAGCGAAGTTTCGCATAACTTGTGGCAAGGAGAGGGAAAGTCCCGGAGTGTGCGCACGTTACATCAGTCTGTGTTTAGCACTCGTTCCAGTAGCATCGTAGTGTCACTTGTGATCACACAGTTTCTCGAACTTGTGTTAGATTGTGATATATGTACATGAATGATCCAGGCCTACAAGATTACCTTCCTGCAGAATTTAAGTTCATCAAGATCCAGTTTCTGCCTCCCAACACCACTCCGTTACTCCAGCCCATGGACCAGCAACTTATTTCAAAATTTAAGAAGCTCTACACTAAAGCACTCTTCAAGCATTGTTTTCAGGTGACTAAGGGGACCAACCTCACTCTCAAAGAGTTTTGGAAACTTCTACATCGTTGCCTGTCTCAAGATGGTCGGCAAGGCGGGGGAAGTTGTTACCAAGAGAATCCTAACTTCTGCTTGGAAGAAGCGTTGGGCGGAGGATGACTATGAAGAGTTCGAGACAGTATCTGTGGAACCTGTAGCCAACGAGATTGTGTCTTTGGCCACTGTCATGGGATTATAGTGGATAACAGTGATATCGAAGAACTTGTGGAAGAGCACAGCCAAGAGCTGACCACCGAAAAGCTTACGGAGTTGCATTGTGTTTCACAGCAAGAAGTTTTGGAGAAAAATTTGTCAGAGGAGGAGGAGGAGGTAACATGAAAGCAACAATCTTCTGGAAATAAGATAAATGCTGAAAGCATGGGTGACTTTTGCATCTTACATGGAGAAGCATCACCCTAATAAGGAAGGCGCTATGCGCTCTGCAAATTTATTTAATGATAATGCTGTATCGCATTTTCGCCAAATTTTGAAGCGTCGGCAAAAACTAAGGTCTCTGGACATCTTTCTACTAAAAAAAATGATTAGCTACGTATCATAACTTTTTCGACGTTTTGTTTTATGCAGATCGAATTCACATTTCAGGTGTATTCGGTCTGCGTTTGAAGAAAAGAGGAAGGTGATTTACTCTCCTTAACAATATGAATATAATTTTCTTTGAATAAACGTTATGCATAGCATTTTGTGGTTATTTTTGTTTGACATGTAACGCATTATCTTATTTTACATTAATTTATATGAGAAAAATTGTTTCGCATAACGAGTGTTTCGCTCAACGAGTATGATTCTAGAATGAATTATGCTCGTTAAGCGAGGTTCCACTGTATATCATTTTTAAGGAATTCCAGTGAAATGTGATTAAACAGCTTAACCAAACGGGGAAGCAGGAAAACGTGCAAAAAAAAAAAAAAAAACTGATAAAGTTTCGGCCGGCAGCTTTACATGAAGTAAACTACACAAAGTGATGTTATGTTCTAACATAGAACTCACTTTCTGTAACATATTTCATGAAACGATTTTATTGTTTTGTGTACGTTTTCTGCTTCCCCATTTGGCAAAGCTTTCTGGTCATATTAGTAGTAGTAGTAGTAGTAGTAGATTTTCACCCCACCAGGACATTACACAAGCGATAAACACCCGATGACACAAAGTGCCACCATATGGATGAGGATCACAGTGGAGAGGTCCCAGAAACCGCGTTTAGCAATTAGACCATATTTATTGTTGGGCTGCATTGCGGCCCCTGGCAAGTGCCAGAGTAGGTCTTCAAATAACGAAAAATTGCATCTCACAAGGAGTTGACTATATAATTTTTGTTTGGTCACATTTTACAGGAATTCCTTGTGTTAGCCTGACTGCATTCACCCCCAAATTTTCAAAATTTTAGGATATATCATTCGTACCAACTCTCTAGAAATATCATTTATGGTGACGTTATAAAAATACGACTTAATGGCAACATTTTAAAAATACGGTTGTGGCGACATTGTAGAGATACCATCTGCCAACATTCTAGAGATGTCATGACAAAACCTTAAAAATATTCCTGATTGCAACAGTACAACAAAGAAGCTCACACATCAAAAATAAAATAAACTTTATAACACGGATGAAGTAGTAAACACACGAAGTAAGAAATGAACTCACATCTCTTCGGGTCAAAACAAGATTAAGGAGTGGTTTGAGGGCCTCAATGACTTTCAACCAATCGTCCACCGAATTTTCCTGCAACTAAAAGTAAAGTAAAGTAAAGGACCCCTTTCTACGCCTTTAGACATATTGGGCATATAGGGCTAGAGTTATATTTTATAGACCAGAAGGCACCTGGTGGGGTGATGTGATGAGCCTTGGTTTCCCTGGACTTTACCCATACCACGATAAAAATCCACGAAGCCCGCAGTGGGTTTCTATCGCGGTACGGTGGATTACGAGTCGGACTAGCAACGCCTTAGCTACGGACGCCGCACTCAAGGCTGGTAGCCAAGAAATTAAAAAAAAAATGACTGACCCGAACCCACGACCTTCCGAGGCGTATGGGGCATATAGTACTAGACCTATAATTTTTTTAGAACAATCGGCACTAGGTGGATGGTGCAGTCAACATCATGCCGGCTGTCTTTACTTCCCAGGATCTTGACTTGTAGCAGTTTAAAGCTGGGTCGCCCTTTAAGGCCGTTATAAAAAATCTAGCTCAGTTCGGAATTTAATCAACAACCTTCAGAGTCACAAGTGAGCCTCTAGCTGCTACACCACAAAGGCTCCTAATGAAGTCAAGGTAAGAACGAAAAGCACCTCTTCTTCTCACTTGACTGCCATTGAATAAATCTGAATCTATGGGTGATGTACTCAGCAACACAAGGGTCGTCTTTGCTTTCAAGGAGATTTTATGGTAATTGAGTTTTAGTGAAGTGAACACGGGACCCCCAGTTAGTAATATGAAAAATACAAAAACCGCTCGAAGGATGCTTGAACACAGGCTCCATGTGAAGCACAGCAGAACAACAGGATAATGCTGACAGATGTGGTCAAAACCGCAGTAGTTGGTGACACCCAGTGTTGGCAGGTCTGTCTGGATTTGATAGCTCCATCGCCTTCTTGGTCTGCCTCGTGATCAACGACCATTCATCTCACTTGTATGTACATATTTTACTTCTCTGTCATCTGAAATTCTTTTAACCATTTCAGTCTACTAGCTCTTATGATGCCAGTGATCAATGGTGATTTAAAAAGTTTGTGAATTTCCTTGTTGCTTCTCACTCTCCATTCCCCGTTTGCATCTTTGAAAGGTCCAAATATTTTGTAGGTGTCAATGCACAGTTAAAACATAGGACTGTCAAAGATTTTCTACGTCAGATCTTAAGTGAGACAGGGGTGTGTTTTATCACCACGACTTTTCATCACATTGTCGATTAAATTTACAAATCAGCTAACATCGGCGAAGGGAAAAACATCAGAGAATTACTAAATAAACAAATGAGCTGTTTTTGCTAATGACAAGCCAATCATAGCACCAACAACGGGCAGCTCTAAGAATATATTAACAGACTCCACTCATCATGTAACGATTACTATATAAAGATCAACAACGACAAACAGAAGGATGACATTCTCGAGAATAGGAAGAACCACCAGTATCAAAACTGATAAGCATTAATTAAAACAGGCGAAGGACTTGACATATCTGGGGAGCATTTTTTTTCAGAAAACGGAAAAATCAAGAAAAAAATAAAGGGGCAATAAAGCAAATCAAGTTATAGACTACATGGCACCAGTTTTGAAATGCAAGCACTGAAGCACTTTTCAACACAATATTCTTACCAACGCAATGATCAGTGTCAAACATAAACACAGTCTTCAAAAGACAGAAGGAAAATAGTCACGACAGAAATGAAATCTTTACGTATTATTTTAGTTGTAACGAGAAAAGATCGAATTAGGAAGGATGCTATCATGATGAGAGGGCACAGAACCAAAACTGAACTTTATCGGTAGATAACAGATCAAGTGGTTTGGCCATCTAACAAAACTGGCATCAGACAGAGCAACATAGCAATGTTATAAAGATACAGCGGTAAAAGAGCCATAGGTCGACTACGCTGATCGTGGACCATAGAAATATGAGACACTGAAAAGTAATGTTAGCATTGCGAACAGAAGGACCCATTCCAGAAACATTTTCCTGTCCTAACTGAGAGGCATTCAGAAGTAGAGAAAAGAATAAGAAAAAGAGGATTGTGCACCTTGTTTTTATTGCTTCTAATAATGTGATGTGATCTTCGAATTTTCCTGTTTAGTTTGTTTATGTGTATAACTATAAGTGTACGTTCTAATCTCGAGCGTATTCTTTGATTTTGATAAAACGGGACATTAGCGTTCGGTTGGAAGTACCTACGGGACGGCCAGACACACCGAAAAAGGGAGTTATCCCAACGAAAACAGAATGTACCCATTTAAAGCTGGGTCTTCTAGGGAGCTAAGATTCTAACTACAACCTTTGGATCTGCAGCTGAGCGTCAAGCCACTATACCATAGCGGCTCCCTAAAATAAATTCACCGTGGGAAAGAAAGCAAAAAAAAAAAGACGACAGAAGAAGAAGAAAAACAAGAAGAAGAAGAACAAGAAAAACAAGAAAAAGAAAAACAAGAAAACGAAAAACAAGAAGAAGAAGACGACGAATAAGTAGGCGAAAATGCAGCAACAGCAATAGCAGCAGCATCAGAAGAAAGAGAAGAAAAAGAAGAAGAAGAAGAAGAAGAAGAAGAAGAAAAAGAAGAAGTAGAAGTAGAAGAAGGAGGAGGTTAAGAAGAAGGAAAAAAAAAACAGAACAAGAACAACATCAACAAAAACAACAACAAAAGAGAAAAAATTGGAAGAGCAGCGAGGAAAAAATATGCATTGATAAGAACATTGAAATTTCAGGATTGAAAAAATGACGTTATGTAAAATATATATATATATATAACAGGACAATATTTTGAACAAATAATTAATTCTTAAAAACAAATTCCAACGCCGCTATCCAGGAGCGCGGAAACTTTGACACAGCACCCTACCCACCTCGCACCTCAAACTCTTAAAACGTTTGAGGGGGGAGGGAGGTGAGAGGAGCGGAACCCCAGACAACCCACAGCACATTTTGCATGGGAGCTTTGTGATCTCTCCCCCCACCCCACCCCCTCCCAGCCAGGTACAGAAGCTCTCTCTTTAGTATTTCTCAATTATCATCAGCATGTACCATGCCGTAAGCGTAGACTGTCATGTTTCGTCATCTCACACGATCACCAGAATCACAGATCAGCTCATCAATATTGTTGTTTACGCCTATTCCATCTCGCCAGGGCATCCAGGTATTTATCTTTTTCCTCCCTTTCGTTGCTCCATTAACCTTGCTAGTTGTTAACAAGTTTTGAGAGTCCATTCCTTCTTTTAACACGTTAAAAAAACCCACATTGTAGACAGACAATTAGACAGACGTCTAAATGTTGTAAAAAGTTTACGTCTCTAACCTGTCTCGACAAGGACTGCATTTATCACGATTTCAAAGATATTATCATGTTGTTTGTTTTAGTATCCAGAAGCCATGAGTTGTTAACCCTTAGGCTCGGTATTATGGATATCGCAACCTTTCGGCCTTGATTCCATTTTAAATACCGTAAATCTGGGAGAAATATGGCTTTTCTGCCCACCCCCGGGAGTGAACCCGGACCACAAGGAGTTCGTCACCCGCTCACCGCGAAATCCGGTTTAGCCAACTACGCTAGAGAAACAGGCAAAGATATTATCATATATTGCTTTGCCATTTAGCAAACGATGGTGGTGTTAAGCATGATGATAATAATAGTAATAATCGGGCCTTTAATTAAATCCTAAGCCCAGGTTTGTGTGTGTGTGTGTGTGTGTGTGTGTGTGTGTGTGTGTGTGTGTGTGCGGTGTTTTGGCGGTAATCAAAGGTTAGTGGTACCGGCAATTTGATTTGGCATCATTTGCCCACTGCTCTGCTGTAGTAAACACTTTGTGATGAGCACCAGCACCCCTTTTATTTCTAGGAACAAATCCTTGATAAAACCCCTCGAGTCTTCGTTCAAAAAAAAAAAAAAAAAATGTGTAAAGGGTGCACTAAAATTTGATTTATGTCGACGCACCTGCCAGTATTGTGATTATTGATATAAAAGAGTTTGTGTTTATCTTACCTTTTTACTTGTTCAGCTACACTGCTATTCAACTCTAAAAATGCACGTGCTTTCTCGATTCAATTATGTATCAGCTGGTCTTTATTTGAATCAATTAATTTAAATACTTTGGATGTTATGATCATTTTTGTTTGACTTGTCAAATTTCACAACAACCAAAAATCGGGAAGACAGCAGATCGAAACATTGATAAGATTGAACTATTTTGTTGAAATTTCATATTCTAAACGAAATTGTCGCCAACAGTTTGTCACTTAGATACCAGTCACAATATCAAGACTGTTGAAACCATCTGGCAGATATTCATCATTGACAGAGCATAATGCACAGTTCTAGACCTTTTACCCTTGTCATTTAGTATTGAAAAATCACGTAAAAATTGTATCCCATCTAAATAATTTGTAAAAATAAAACAAAACAAAAAATAAAAATTATGCACCAGCAACGACGAACTTCGCAAACGAAAGGACTTCCTGATGGTAATCATAATTGTTCAAAAATGTGTTCATAAAAGTCCGTTTTCCCCATAAACTAAGAAACAAAATTAGAGTGACTCTATGCTACTCCAGTGTACTGGCGATTAGTCCATTAGGGATACATTAATTCGCAAGTATCCTGGCGAAAAAGTCTTTAAAGAGGTAATGAAACCCAAACTGGCCTCTGCGAGCTGTTGCCTATGACTCACAACCATGACACGAATATAAAGTGACCGGAAAAATTTCAAGAGTTCATGTTAAAAATAATTGCTATCCGGAAATAATGCTAACCGGAAACTCATAATCCCTGTTGGTGTCAATATTTTGTTCATGATAACTGTGTGTTCTGGGTTAGCTAGTTCGTGTTAAGAGCTTTACTGTATTTTAACTCTCTAGATCCAAATACTGATTAATGAAAACAATAAATTCTGCTCCACTTGTCGGCTCCAGGTCCAGCTTTGTTGGGGGTAAAGAATAACGGATATAGGGCCTATATTGCGACTGCTACTGGTACCATCGAAACTGGAACTCTGCGCTGGCTGGTGATGACAGGAGATAGGGCCCTTATGGAAATGAACGGGGTGTTGCGATGTCAATTAATAACTTTCTCAAAACTCAAATAACCATAACTTAACTCAAAACTCTACACAACTCAGTAAAGTAGTGACTTACATCTATCGTGGGTTGTTTGAGAGCATCGCGGTCTTTCACAACCTGTTCAACCCCTGCCTCCTGTAAATGCAAAGAGGATCATTTTAGTGAATGATCTCCCCTGTTGTAGCTGGTGCATCTCTGTGTCTGTAAGTTTGTATGGTCGTTTGTGTGGCTGTCTGTGTGGTTACAGAGACGAATGTTGTTCGGAGAGGCCAAAGATACTTTGCTGGATTCTCTCCATGGTTCGTTATTTTTACTTTTTAAGGATTGTTACAAATTTTATTTCTGCTACTTTTATTAGAACCATCGACATTATTGTTCATATTTTGTCACCACCACGTGTTTTACTACTTTATTATTACGCTTATTATTAGAGCCGTTTTCGATCCTTCATTTTTTTTATTCGTTCTACATACTTTCTTCTTCTTAAAAAAAAAAAAAAAAAATAGTTATCCATGTCACCCCACTCTGAGGAACTGGTGGTCTGGGTAGTCGGCCCTATGTTGTATTTGTGATTTATATCAAGAAAGGCTTGGCCGAAATGCCTGCTTATCTTGTACGTGTATGTTGTTACCCTTTCTCTTTCGTCAGATTTCTTAATCTCTATTTCCTAAATTATTTCCATTGTTTTAGCTCGACTGCAGTCATCCCTGTTTTCATCAGAAAGATATAGTCAGGTTTTCTGTGTATGAAATGGGTCGCATCAATACAGATATCGGTGGCCAGAGCCACATGGATATTTTGCCCAGTCTATTCAGGCATGTTAGGGAATTAGCAGACAGACAGGCCGTTTGGATTGACTCAGCTTGGAGGTGAACTGCAACTGCACAAGGGAGAGGTGATCTCTCGCCTGTGTTGGACAAGGTAACGAGTAAAATGGAAGATACCGAAATCCCGTACATGAAGAGTATGATGCAGCAGGAAGTATCTGAGGTATCTGAGGGTCACGCGATATTCGGGGGGACTCAATGACTTTTAACACTTCGTCAATCCAATCGTCCTGTAACTAAAAGTAAATTAGAAGACCCCTTTCCAAGCTTTTAGGCATATTGGGCATATAGGGCTAGAGCTATATTTTATAGACCAGAAGGCATCTGGTGGGGTGATGTGATGAGCCTTGGCTTTCCAGGACTTTACCCGTTACCCACTCAAGGCAGTAACCAAGACATTTTGTAATTAAAAAAAAAAAAAAAAAAAAAAAAGACTTCACCCGAATCCACGACCTTACGAGGCGTATGGGGCTTATAGTACTATACCTTTAATCGTTTAGAACAATCAGCACTAGTGGGTGGTGTAGTCAACATCATGCCGCTTGTCTTTACTTCCCAGGAATTTGCATAGTAGCAGTTTAATGCTGGGTCGCCCTGAAAGGTCATTATACAAATCTAGCTTTGTTTGGATTTTAACCTACAACCTCCAGAGTCGCAGGCGAGTCTCTAGCTGCTACACAACAGAGACTCATAATGAAGTCAAGGTGAGAAAGAAAAGCACCTCCTCTTCTCAATTTGACTGCTTTTAGCAACCGTAATGGTAATCATCATCATTAACATGTGTGCCGTAATATGCTACACAGAGCTGGCAATCTAGTCCCCCATTCAGTTCTACAGTATCCTATTCAGTCTTATCGATACCATGGCATGACTGACACCTGGTCCGACACCTTTTAAACTTTTTCATGAACTTTTCTGTCTGTATTTCTGTAAAACAGTTGCCCGAGCGACGAAGAACGCTAGTCTCTAACTGGAGAACCTGAAGTTTAAAACCTCAGTAAGACTGACTATTTTTTTTTTTCTGTTGGGCCAGTAATAAAATGTCCACCTACACAGTTCACGGCGACTGCACTAGTCAGAGTGTCCGGTCAATTCCACGATAATCTCCCTACGGACCGAAAATATTCACACTAGCTCACTTCTGATTGCCCGACCTTCAGTCACTCGACCTCCGCACACTGCTTTAAACACTACAAAAACATTTAGAAATTGGGTCTAACACACACAACTGTAGAGAGTGCTGCAACTTATGTCACAGGCATTAGCTTTATCAGAAGAAAAACGCAAATGCGAGACAAGCCAGACAGAAAGGAAACAACCTAGCCGCAACCTGTAACCCCCCGGACAGCAGACGAGACTAAAGAAAATTATGAATGGAACGTGACCTAGTTTCCACGGGGGGACTATCGTGGAACTTACCATAATGTCCTAATTCCTAAGGCAGAGGTTGACCACATCATCCAGAGATACCATTTGTAGCAGTAATTTTAGAGATACCAATTGTATCGACAATTTTAGAGATACCATTCTCGGAAACATTCAAGAGATACTATTTGTAGCAGCAATTTTAGAGATACTATTCGCGGAGATACCATTTGTAGCAACATTCTAGATATACAATTTGTAGTAACATTCTAGTGATGCCATTTGTAGTCGAATTCTAGCAGCAATATATGCGTCAACATTCTAGAGATACCATTCGTGGCAGCATTCTAGAAATAATATATGCCTCAGCATTGTAGAGATACCATTTGTGGCAGAATTGCAGAGATATCTTTTATAGCCACATTCTAGAAATAACATTAGTGGCAACATTCTATAGAAGCCACTTGTTTCAACATTCTAGAGATAGCATTTGTAACAGAATTTTAGAGATACCATTCGTGGCAACATTCTAGATTTGCTATTTGTAGCATCATTCTAGAGATGCCAAATGAAGTAGAATTCTAGAAACAATATGACATAAACTTTGTAACATGGATGAAGCAGTAAACACAGGAATTAGGAAATATACTCACATCTCTTCCGGAGATTACAGGAATAAGGAGTGGTTTGAGGACCTCAATGACTTTCAACACTTCGTCAACCCAATTGTCCTGTAACTAAAAGTAAAATAAATGACCCCTTTCCGCACCCTTATGCTTATTGGGCATATAGGGCTAGAGCTAAATTTTATAGACCAGATTGCACCTGGCGGGGTGATGTGGTCAGCCTTTGCTTCCCAGGACTTTACCTGGTACCAACTCAAGGGTGGGAGATAAGGAATTAAAAAAAAAAAAACTTAAGACTCTGACCTAAACCAACTTACCTTCCTATGGTGATGCCATTTGTGTCAACAATCTCGAGATACTAGTCACCGTAAACTTCTAGAGAAAACATTTGTGGCAACAATCTCGAGATACTAGTCACAGTAAACTTCTAGAGAAAACATTTGTGGCAACAATCTCGAGATACTAGTCACAGTAAACTTCTAGAGAAAACATTTGTGGCAACAATCTCGAGATACTAGTCACAGTAAACTTCTAGAGAAAACATTTGTGGCAACATTCAAGATTGCCATTGTGCCAACATCCCAGCATATAATTTTGATAACATAAAAAAAAAAAAAAAACATTTCATCAACTTTCTAGAGTATTATTTGTGCCACAATTTTAGAGGTACGATTTTTGTCAGTTATCTAGAATGAGGAAGAGGGATGGGTGTTTGGGTGTGTGTGTGTGTGTGTGTGTATGTGTGTGTGTGTGTATGTGGAAACATTTTAACGTTACCATTTGGGACAACATTCTAGGAATACCATATGTTATAATATTGAAGAGATTCATCATGTGGCAACATTCTATGAAAACTGTGTATGTTCATGTTACTGAGATATGTTTTTAACAACCTGAACAGTTCTTTCTAATCACATCATTGTGTATTCTTAATGCCAACTCACTACAAATATTATTTATGGCAACATTTTAAAATCTAAAATGAAATAAACTTTATAACAAGAATGAAGCAGTAAACATAGGAATTTTAAAATATACTCACATCTCTTCCGGAGATTACAGGAATAAGAACTGGTTTGAGGGCCTCAATGAATTTTAACACTTCTTTAACCCAATCGTCCTGTAACTAAAAGTAAAGTAAATGACCCCTTTCCATACCCCTATACTTATTGGTCATATAGGCTAGAACAACATTTTATAGACCAGAAGGCACTTGGTGGGTGATGTGATCAGTCTTTGCTTCCCAGGACTTTACCTGGTACCAACTCAAGGCTGGCCGCCAAGGAATAAAAAAAAAATTAAAAAAAACGTAGACTCTGACCCAAACCAACTACCGTCCTATCGGTAGGCGAGAGTCTAGGTGCTACACCAGGGCGACTGGAACTAGAAGCAGCATAATTTATTACGCCGCTTATCTCCCGTTAGTGTATGTGCTTGAGTGTGTTCACATGTATGTGCAATGTTTATGATTGTATTTATGTGAATCAGCTTGTATAGACATATTTTGCAATAAATTCAGGTGGCAACAAGAATACTTCCCAGAAATTTGCCTGGTAATAATTTAATGCTGGGTCGCCCTTTGAGTTCATTAAAAAAAAAAAACCCCTTAACTTTCAGAGCTGCAGTTAAGCCTCTAGCTGCTTTACCACAAGGGCTCCCAATGAAGTCAATGGGAGAAAGAAGAGCACCTCTTTTTCTCAATAAATCTGGATCTATGGGTGATGTATTCCGCAACACAATGGTCGTCTTTGCTTTTAAGGAGATTTTCTGGTAATTAGCCAAAGAAACCAAGCACTTCGAAATGTCTTATGAGTTACATGATTACGTTGTTTCTGAGAATAATTATGAGAAGAAAAAGAAACAAAATCAAACTAGAAATCAGCCATGAACAATACGGATTTGTATACTGAAAAGGGACAAACAATGCCCTATACATCCTAAGGTCATTATCAAAAAGAGCTATAGAAGCAAAGACTGATATGTATATATGCTTCATAGACTATACAAAAGCATTTGACTGTGTGAAACATGAAAAAGTAATCAAACTGTTAGAAAAATTAAACATTGATGGAAAAGATCTACGAATAATAAAGAATATTTATTGGCAGCAAACAGCAGCTAAAAGAATCAACAACTGTTTAGGTACATTTGAGTGCATAAAGAGGGGCGTACGACAAGGATGTGTACTGTCACCTGATTTATTTTTATTTTACAGTGAATATTTAATGAGATCTTGAATTTATATTCTCGGAATAGTGGTTGGTGGGTACAATATAAACAATTACATTATGCTGATGATAACAACAAGAAAGTAAAAGACAACAATCTTCTCGTCATGATGCTTTTGGATAACAGGTATATGGTGCTAGCAGCAGCTGATATTGAACAACGCCTATTTTTTCCTTCTCTATCGAGGGCTTGCATTAAGCATAACTGACTATGGTCTTGGCCTCCTCGCTGTCAGCAAAACCCATGCGCTATGTCCTGGGTTTGCCGACGATGACTAGCAGATACAAAGTGGCACAAGTCAAGGCTTACGTGAGGGTATCGGCAGACGTTGACCACCCACTGCACAAAGCTAGGCACGACACAAAAGGAACGCGTCTAAAAAAAGGCCGCTTCTAGATGGCAAAGGCTGAGAATTTAATCCATTGGGTATGTGATCTAGACGTATTAAGTGACGGAAAAGAATTGAAGAATATACTAACAGACATGCAAGGCATCTCTTAGGTTGTCATCACACTCGGAAGGTACTGCAGGGATCAGATTCCTGCGGGTGTAGACACATAGTTAAGGGAACTGATAGATCAACAATCAGACCCAGAAGATAGCATCATCTACACAGATGGATCCGTGAAGCGCGGATCAGGGTCAGCATGGGCATGCACAGCGCAAAGAGGAATGTGAAAAACAATGCAGGAGGACAGCGGCGCTTACCAGACAACCATGAAAATAGCTGTTGCTTCTTGAGCATTAGCATGGGTATCCGAGCAAACCACCACACAGGCAGTAAATGTATCAGACTCCATGAATATGCTTCAGAAGATAGCAACAGACGGTATCGCACTTAACCTCCCTCACCTGGATCTACACACCGGGTAATGCGGGCGTAAAAGGAAATGAGCGAGCGGACCAACTGGCAAGCATTGTACTAAGGCATGTGGGAAGAAGCATGGACAGAGCAGATATCGTCAACGCTGTACGGACTGGGCTAATGGATAATGAGAAATCCCTGACAATAACACGATTGCATGACCAGGGAGTAAAGCATGGTGAAGCACGTCTATGCCGTCTTCGAGGCCGAGATAGGAGACAATATAACCAGCTTCTGGGTACAATTAGTGGAAGTACTCTGGAGTGACTGCTGCATCGGAGGACTGAGCACACATGAGAATGCACAATGTGTAGTGACGTCGTTTGTGGTAACATAACATAATTTAAAATGCTTGATGTATCCAACAACACCAAGACAGTCTTTCCTTTCAAGGAATTTCGTGGTAACCGGGTTTGAATGGCGTGAACTAGCTCCCCCACCAGTTAGGTAAAACCACTAAAATTATATTTGAACACAAGACCACAGGTCTGATAAGCAGGTGTGCTGTCCACTGAGTTGAAAGAATCCTCTACGACAAGTAGTCAGATAAGCAGATGTGCAGGTCACTGTAAACCCGAGCTCACAAGTCAGATAATCAGGCAATTGTGTTAACCGCATTCACTTCACATTTGTTAAAGGTGAAGGTAAATGGTAAAGTCGGGAGATGTGAACTAGCGTCATTGCACACGGTTACAAACTATAAGGGCTCTGCGACCAGTACGGACAGCTGGTAAATTGTCCGCCTGTGTCGCCCGCCGTCCGCACCTAAATCTGTAGCTATAGCGAGGTTCCTCCATTTACCCCAGAGTGTCAACACTGGTACCCATTTCCTAGAGGCTGGGTGAACCCCGGGAACCGCCCGGTTTCGAACACCGACCGTAGGCTGCAGCGAGTCGCAGCTGGATTTGAAAGCGAACTTGTTATCGACTGCTCTAACGCGTCCCCGTAATCACATTAGTTACTACTGGTCATCAATTAAAAGTAATGTAATGTAGGTCACTAGAATTCCAAACTGGCTTCATGTCGAGCATGGAGAGGAAAAAATCAGGATGGGGAGGCTCACACATCTTAAACAAACTTTGCAACATAGATGTACTATTAGAGACACGAGGTAAGACATATACTCACATCTGTCTTGGCAATTAAAGGAGCAATGACCGGTTTGAGGGCCTCATAGAGTTTCACAACTTTGTCAATCGGAAGGTCCTGTGGTTACGAACAGCAGCGTTTATTTAAGTCGTATAACGAAAATCAGTGAATATAAAAAATTTAAAAGAACTTGAAATTTCAGCAAAGATAACGACATCTGAAATTCCTGTGGTAATAAAGTCAAAGTAAGGAAAATAAATGAGCCTCTCTTCTCGCCAGGTCAGGATAAGCTGAAGTCTACTTCAGTCGAACTCGGATAAGTCGAATTTCGGTTAAGTCGACATGACCAGCTTAGTCCCGACAATTTTTTGTACTGTGTGTGTGTTGTCTGGATAAGTAGAAGTCCTGATAAGTGGAAGCATTTCTTAGGTCCCTGCGACTTCCACTTATCCAGACTCGAGAGAGAGAGAGAGAGAGAGAGAGAGAGAGAGAGAGAGAGAGAGAGAGAGAGAGAGAGAGAGAGAGAGAGAGAGAGAGAGAGAGAGAGAGAGAGAGAGAGAGAGAGAGAGGGAGATGAGAGATAGTAACAGAGAGTGTGTGATTATGTATGCACTCCCGTCCATTCTTGTGGTGAAAGTGCGGGCCCGCGCGCGTGTGTGTATGTGTGTGTGTGTGTGAGAGAGAGAGAGACACAGAGAGAGAGAGAGAGAGAGAGAGAGAGAGAGAGAGAGAAAGAGAGAGAGAGAGAGCCTTGCTGTATGTCACCCACAACACAACAAGCTAGACGTTCATTTCTTGGCAAACGCAAAGTAGAAACAAGTAGACAAAGAATCAAATATTTCTTCTTCAAGGTGAGGTGAGACACCATAACGTCGGGCACAGACACCTGAGCCACTTTTTCCCACTTCTGACTACCACCACAACTATACTACTACCGACATCACTATACGACTACCACCACTACCATCATATTATTACCATCATCACCACTAAACTACTGCCACTACCACCACTATACTAATACCACCACTATCTCTATACTACTACCATTATCACCATCACCATACTATTACTACCATCACCACCACTATACTACTACCACTGCCGCCACGACTATACAATTACTACTACCACCACCACTATACTACCATCACCATCACCACCATTATACTGCCAGCAATATCACCATATTTTTACCACCACCACCATACTACCACTCTCAAATCCACAATCTTATTTGTGCTACCACCACCCTGCTACGGCTAACACCACCACCATGCTACTCCAACGACCCCACGCTACTACTACCACCACTATTATACTACTACTGCAATCACAAAAATATTACTTCTACAACTACAAAACTACTATTACTATAATCACTAATACGATACTATTACCACCATCATAATACTATTACTACCACCACCACAACCACCATACTACTTCTACCACCACCGCTATACTACTACCACAAACGCTAGCACCATACTGCTACAACATTAGATACTACTAACACGAAACTACTACTACTACCACCAACATCACCATACCACTACTACTACCATACTATAACTAACACTACCACCAATAACACCATACTGATACTACCATCGTCACCATACCATCTTCACTCCCACATACTACTACTACTCACTACCATACTGCTACTACTACCATCACTGCAGTTACTGCCACCACCATCACCTTACTACTACTACTACTACTACTAGTCTACTACTACTACTACTACTACTACTACTACTACTACTACTACTACTACTACTACTACTACTACTACTACTACTACTACTACTACTACTACTACTACTAGTACTACTGCTGCTGCTGCTGCTGCTGCTACTGTCACATATCACTCCTGTCGCGTGCCTAATGTAAGGATTTCTCCTTCAGAACCAGCGGCACTCAGAGATAATTATGTTGAGTCGTTTGGCTCGTATTGGTCTAAGGGATTCCCCGTGGCCAATATACGATCAACTTATCTCTGGAGTAGGGCAACTCAAGTATTGGCACTACAAAATATGTCAATATATATATATAATATTTCTAGGCACACTTGGCTGGACACCCCCACTACTTACTAAAGAAAGCCCCCAGGTTATGATAGTTCATTATCATAACCATGTTAACACATATAATGAAGATACACATACATACACAACTGCTAAACACTTAAAAAGGTGAAATAGAGACACCTAAGTCAGCCATAAAAATGAATGTATGTAATCAATATAAATTAGATATATAAAAGTGAGACAAAGGCCAGATCTCAGGATATCATGTCCCAATCACAAAGATTTACACAGACAGAAGGCCTTGGAGATGACATCTTTTCATCACGGGACACAAGGAGCTGTGAGGAACCCAACATCATGCGAAGCATTAGACTTATCTTCTCTCCTCTCTGTCTATGATGCCTCCCTC